GTTGATCAAGTATTATGAGGCTTTGGCACATCTTGGAAAAAAAGGTGTGGTGTGTTAAGAGACAATAATAATCAGCTCCGCATCTCTCAGCAAGAGAGATTAGATTTGGCGTACAGGTAATCCTTAATTTACAGCTATTCGCTTAGTGACCGTTTGAAGTTACGACAACACTGGCGAAAGTGATTTAGGACAATTTTTCACACGTCGGATCGTTGCAGCATCCGGGGATCACGTGATCAAAATTCAAACACTTGGCAACTGGCATGTACTTAGGACGGTTGCAGTGTCCAAGGGTCACGTGATCCCTTTTTTACACCGTGCTCGTCGAGCAAAGTCAATTGGGAATCCAGATTCACTTAACAATCGTGTTACTCACTTAAAAACCGCAGTGATTCACTGAACAATTGTGGGAAGAAAGATCGTAAAATGGGATAAAGCTCTCGTGTGTGTGTGTATGTGCGCGCACAGATAGGTATGTAGACAGACATAGATGAAAGTTATAGATGAGATAGAAAGATGAAAGTTATAGATGAGATAGATAAGTTATATATCATAGATGAAAGTTACAGATGATAGATAGATAGATAGATAGATAGATAGATAGATGAGTTATAGATAGATGATAGATAGATAGATGAAAGTTATAGATGAGATAGATAAGTTATAGATGATAGATAGATGAAAGTTATAGATAGATAAACATATGATAATGTATGATAGATAGATGAAAGTTATAGATGAGATAGATGTTATAGATGATAGATGAAAGTTATATATGATATAGATAAGTTATATATCATAGATGAAAGTTATAGATGATAGATAAAAGTTATATATGATCGATAAATATGTTAGAAAAATAGATGAAAGTTATAGATGGATAGACGGACGGACAGACAGACAGACGGATAAATGGATAGATGGATATGTATATATGTATGCATGTGTATAGCATGTGTATATGTGTGTTATGTATGTGTATGGGTAGATATATACTTTCTTTTGAGGCGGGGAACAGAATTTCATTTTTAACATGGTCCAGCGTGCTCACAGTAAAAACTAACAATAAAGCTTATCTTATTTTGCATTTGGGGTTAAGCTGAGATTGTAAGTCAAGGACTGCCTGCATGTAGTTCCACTGATAAATGCAATTTTTGACAAAGATGATTGCTATTTTCACAGCCGATACTGTAAATTCAATTTCAGACCCGCAGGTGGGAAACTTGCGTTCTCCCTGGTTCTGCGGCATTTCCCCCTATCCTGTGCTTCTGATCTCTGGAGGGGCAGTCAAATATTTAGAAGGCGATCAAAACATACAGAAACCATCCCCAGCCTTTCAAAAACATCCCGAAGGAGGAGAGTTTATTGCATTTTTCTACAGCTTTGCTACACAATGCTCTGAGGTTTTATCCTCAGAAAAATGCCGTGAGTCAGGTACGCTAAGGATATAAAATATGTGTGCTTTGGGATTGTTTAAGGAGCTTGGACACGGAAAGAAAAAAAAAACGGGGCTGTCTGATTCTGTTTTAACACTTCAGCCTCTTAGCCTGGTTGAAACCACATGATAGGGCGCGACGTGGTTTATTTGATGTTGGCCTGTTGTCTTGCGTTGTTTTGGTATCAATAATCAATCGCGTAAGAAAGCGTTGTTGTTAGTTGCGAAGTCGTGCCCGACCCATCGCGGCCCCATGGACAACGTTCCTCCAAGCCTTCCTGTCCTCTACCATCTTCTGGAGTCCATTGAAGCTCACGCCTGCTGCTTCAGGGACTCCATCCAGCCCCCTCATTCTCCGTCGTCCCCTTCTTCTCTTGCCCTCCATCTTTCCCAGCATCAGGCTCTTCTCCAGTGAGTCCTTCCTTCTCATTAGGCGGCCAAAGTACTTGAGTTTCAACTTCAGGATCTGGCCTTCTAAAGAGCAGTCGGGGTTGATCTCCTCTAGGACCGACCGGTTGGATCGCCTTGCAGTCCAGGGGACTCGCAGGAGTCTTCTCCAGCACCAGAGTTCAAAGGTCTCAATTCTTTGGCGCTCAGCCTTTCTTATGGTCCAGCTTCCACAGCCATACATTGCAACTGGGAAAACCATGGCCTGGACTATACGTACTTTTATTGGCAGGGTGACGTCTCTGCTTTTTAGTGTGCTGTCTAGATTTGCCATAGCTTTCCTCCCCAGGAGCAAGTGTCTTTTAATTTCTTGGCTGCAGTCCCCATCTGCGGTGATCTTGGAGCCCAGGAAGATAAAATCTGTCACTACCTCCATTTCTTCCCCATCTATTTGCCAGGAATTGAGAGGGCCGGATGCCATGATCTGGGTTTTCTTTCTTTCTTTCTTTCTTTCTTTCTTTCTTTCTTTCTTTCTTTCTTTCTTTCTTTCTTTCTTTCTTTCTTTCTTTCTTTCTTTCTTTCTTTCTTTTACAAATTTTATTTATAATACAGTTAAAAACAAACAAACATTGGATCTAACATGACATTCCACTATATACATTCTTACCAGGTTATTCCACTTTTTGCAATCAATTCTTCATCTCTACATATACATCTAAGTTTTATATACAATACTTATTCTCAAATAACATATCTTTCTATCTTAACATTCATCTTTAATGGCAACCGTCCTCTTGGAATTCCTCCAGCGGTAAAATTTATCGATCTGGGTTTTCTTAATGTTGAGGCAAGCATACGAACTTTTTAAATATGCCCCTCCTTATACATGGAGAAGAACAGGTACTCCTCGGCTTATGACCACAGTGGAGTTCAACGTTTCTGTCGCTAAGCGAGACTCCGGTGAATTTCGCCCCTGTTTGTAACTTTGCTTGCCACGCTCGTTCAGCGAATCACTGCCATTGTTATCACACAGTTGTTCAGTGAATCTGGCTCCCCCTCCATTCTGAATTGGCTTGTCAGAAAGTGGCAAAAGGGGATCGCATGACCCCGGGACACTGCGACCGTCGTAAATATGAACCAGCTGGAGAGTGCCCGAATTTTGATCGGGTAACCATCGGGACGCTGCAACGGTTCGTGGGAAAAACGGTCGTAAGTCAGAAAAATGGTCGTAAGTCGCTTTTTTTTTCAGTGACCCCCCCCCAGGACACTACAACGGTCATCAATACGAAGCAGTTGCCCAGCGTCCAAATTTTGATCACATGACCAAGGGCAGGGGTAGGCCACCTTGGCTCTTTTATGACTGGTGGACTTCAATTCCCAGAATTCCTAAACTAGCCACGCTGAGGGGAAAGGGAGAGGTTTCCAAGCTGAGCCAGGCCGGCTCAGGAATTCTGGGAGTTGAAGTCCACGAGTTATGAAGGGGCCAAAGTTTCCCTCACGCTGGCTCCAGTTGAAGTCCACGAGTTATGAAGGGGCCAAAGTTTCCCTCACGCTGGCTCAGGAAAGCTGAAGTCCACGAGTTATGAAGGGGCCAAAGTTTCCCTCACGCTGGCTCAGGAATTCTGGGAGTTGAAGTCCACGAGTTATGAAGGGGCCAAAGTTTCCCTCATGCTGGCTCAGACAGAGGAATAAGGAGCTGATTAGAGCTAGGACAGGGGTGGGCCATCTTGGCTCTTTTATGACTCGTGGACTTCAACTCCCAGAATTCCTGAGCCAGCCATGCTGAGGGGAAAGGGAGAGGTTTCCAAGCTAAGCCATGTTGGCTCAGGAATTCTGGGAGTTGAAGTCCACGAGCCATGAAGGGGCCAAAGTTTCCCTCATGCTGGCTGAGGAATTCTGGGAGTTGAAGTCCACAAGTCATAAAAGGGCCATAGTTCCCTCAGGCTGGCTCAGGAATTCTGGGAGTTGAAGCCCACGAGTCATAAAAGAGCCAAGCTTGCCTACCCCTGACCAAGGGGAATTCTACAATGGTCGTAAGTGTGAAAAAACGGTCTTAAGTCACTTTTTTCAGTGCCGTTGTAACTTTGAACGGTCACTAAATGCAGGGTTGTAAGCGAAGGGTTACATGATAATGGAAATATGGCGTAATATAATTATTGTGTTATAATAGTTGGAGGCTGTTATATTTGCCTCCAAGTGAGTTTGTTTGTGTTGTTGTTGCTAAGTGAGAAATTTGTTAAGTGAGTTTTCTTCTGAAAGATTTCCAGTGTTGGAGCGCTCACAACTTCTGGTGGCAGGTTGTTCCACCGGTTAATTGTTCTTACTGTTAGGAAATTTCTCCTTCATTCCAGGTTGCTTCTCTCCTTGATTAGTTTCCATCCAATTGTTTCTTGTCTTGCCTTCCAGTGCTTTAAAAAATAAGTTGACCCCTCTCTTCTTTGAGTTGGAAGGGACCATGGAGGTCTTCTAGTCCAACCCCCTGCTTATACAGGAAACCCTATACCATTTCAGACACTCTCTTCTTAAAAACTTCCAGTGTTTGAGCACTCACAACTTCTGGTGTCAGGTGGTTCCGCTGGTTAATTGTTCTTTCCTGTTAGGAAATTTCTCCTTCATTCCAGGTCGCTTCTCTCTTTGATTAGTTGAATTATTAAACAATTATCTTTGACTTAGCAGATTGGGTGGATCAAAGGAAGCAGGGTGGATTCCAAAATGCATTACTAAACAAATAGAGGTTTCTATGGTTTGTCCAGGAACAGAGACTGGGGGTTAGACTAGATGACCTCCAAGGTCCCTTCCAACTCTGTTCTTCAAAGGTGAAACAGGTAAAGATGTGTGCATAGGATATGGTTTAAATCGGGTCTTCAAACTTGGCCTTTTTATGACTTGTGGACTTCAACTCCCAGAATTCCTCAGCCAGGCGTGCCTGGCTGAGGAATTCTGGGAGTTGAAGTCCACAAGTCATAAAAGGGCCAGGTTTGAAGACCCTGGTTTAAATTCAGCTCGGAAATGCTCTAGGGTCTCCTGCTTGAGCAGGGGGCTGGACTAGAAGACCTCCAAGGTCCCGTCCCAATTTTATGGTGTTAAGAAATTCTGTAAGCGGGAAATGAGTTCGGAACTGGGACCTGCTGAGGGCGTCTAGCGACGGCCTCTCATTTCGTCTCCTGTTTCATTGCAGGCCCTGATGCTTGAAAACCTCCAGAAGCATTCAACCCCACACACCACCTTCCAGCCCAATTCCCAGGTAAGACCTGCCAGCCTCCCCTTGGTCTCCGGTTGAGCTGCAGTGAAAGTCTTCTGGGACTGCCGTGTTTCCTCCCAAAATAAGACCCAAACGGAACATAATCCCTACTATGATTTTTCAGGATGCTCGTAATGTAAGCCCCACCTCAAAAATAAGCTAAGTTAAGAAGATCATCAGCCAGACCAGGGGTGGGCCACCTTGGCTCTTTTATGACTGGTGGACTTCAACTCCCAGAATTCCTGAGCCAGCCACGCTGAGGGGAAAGGGAGAGGTTTCCAAGCTGAGCCAGGCTGGCTCAGGAATTCTGGGAGTTGAAGTCCACGAGTCATAAAAGAGCCAAGGTTGCCTAGCCCTGAACCAGATGGACACATTTAGTACTGTATTTCCCTGAATATAAGCCCTAACCAGAAAATAAGCTCTAAGGCAGTGGTTCTCAACCTTTTTAATGCCGCGACCCCCAACCAGTCGTAAGTCGAGGACTACTCAACCGGTCGTAAGTCGAGGACTACTCAACTGGTACAGCACCGTTTGCAGACTGGGACTTTTGGTGGGCTCAGCAGGGCAGAGACAGCCTGGACAATTCCTATTGGCTTTTGAAAGCCAATAGAATTAGACTCTATTTAAGAGAGTCTCTTCTATTGGCTTTCAAAAGCCAATAGAATCAAAGGGAGTAGCACAGCTAAGGAAAAGGGGGGGGGGAAATGGCAGACTGCGTTGTTTGGCGATCCTCGTGAAATGGTCGTTCGACCCCAAATGGGGTCCCGCAGGTTGAGAACCATTGCCCTAGATCAACAATCAAGAAGTAAACAATACCCCAATCAAGGGACTACAAAGGGACTACAGACAAGCTACCAGCAAGCAGTCCGATCAAGCAGCCATCCAAGAACACTCCCCACAACTCCGACTTGTGTATAAAAAGAGAGCAAATCCCACTACCTCTAGCGCTGATGGTGTTATTTAGTTGGGTCATGAAATGTCTGTAAGAAAACAGCCAAACTCAGCAAGCACCAGGGACCCCAAAATCGTCCTTCTCCTCAGCCTATTCCTCCTCCTCCCCCCCCCCCACGCTCCCTTCTAGCACTGATGATATTCCCTAGTTGGGTCATGAAATGTCTGCAAGAAAACAAGCTCAGAGAGCACCAAGGACCCCACAGTTTTCTTCCTCCTCTTCCTCCTCCTCCTCCTCCTCCTCCAACCTCACTCCTTCCAGCACTGATGATATCACCTAGTTGGGCCATGAAATGTCTGTAAGGAAACCAGCAAGCTCAGAGAGCACCAAGGACTTCACAGCCACCTCCTCCTCCTCCTCCTCCTCCTCCTCCTCCTCTCTCCACAAACCCCACTCCCTTCTAGCACTGATGATGTTGCCTAGTTGGGTCAGGAAACGTCTGCAAGAAAACCACCCAGCTCAGAAACCATCAAGGGCCCCACAATCCTCCTCCTCCTCTGCCTGTTCCTCCCCCTCCTCCCCTTCCTCCTCCTCCTCCTCTCCACAAGCCCCACTCCCTTCCAGCCCTGACGATGTCACCTAGTTGGGTCGCGAAACGTCTGCAAGGAAAACCCATCCAGCCCAAAGAGCCCCGAGGACTCCGGTGCTGCAAATTCAGTTCAAAACATTTTTTCTCTTGTCGGCACTTTATAAGACAGTGGTTCTCAACCTGTGGGTCGGGACCCCATTTGGGGTCGAACGACCATTTCATGGGGGTCGCCAAACAACGCAGTCCGCCATTTTCCCCCCTTTTCCTTAGCTGTGCTCCTCCCTTTTATTCTATTGGCTTTCGAAAGCCAATAGAAGAGACTCTCTTGAATAGACTCTAATTCTATTGGCTTTCCAAAGCCAATAGGAATTGTCCAGGCTGCCTCTGCCCTGCTGAGCCTGCCAAAAGTCCCATTCTGCAAACGGTGCTGCACCAGTCGAGTAGTCCTCGACTTACGACCGGTTGAGTAGTCCTCGACTTACGACCGGTTGGGGGGTCGCGGCATTAAAAAGGTTGAGAACCACTGGTATAAGATGTGCCGGCTTCGTACGGGCTGGGTGTTCAGGCAGGGGTGTTTTGCTCCTCTGAAGCCTGTTTTCCCACCAGATCGGGGAGGAGATGAGCCAGAACAGCATCATCAAGCAATACCTGGAGAAACAGCAGGAGCTGTTGAGGCAGCGTCTGGAACGGGAAGCTCGGGAGGCAGCTGACCTGGAAAGTAAGTGACGTTGTGCGACATCCTCCCCTCCCCTCCTCCTCTTTCCCATAATTCACAGGGGGAGAGGAGGGACAGCAGCTTGTGTTTGAACCAAATTGCATCTCGCAGGGATTAATATTGATATGTATTTATAGGTAAGGCTGGAGGTCTACACCTGTGTCGTGTAGAGCAGTGGTTCTTAACTTTTTTTGAACGAATCGCCTCCTTGAGCCAATGAGGAAGTTGTCATCGCCCCCCCCCCCCATCACACATAAGAAATAATTCTTCAATTGATGCAAACACTTTTTTTTTTGTTTTCTTTAAAATTGTCATCTGGCCATATCGGTGCCAATAATTTATTTCCAGTCTTTTTCCCCTTATCTCAACTGTGTGGGAAAATTTTGGTGCCACCCGTCACTTTATTAAAATGAAATAATGTATTTCATTATTGTCTTATTTATTCAAGACACTTAAAGGTAATGACCACTGAAAACAAAATTCAATGGCAAGGAAGTGAAATGCCCGAAAAGAAAAACAGGAACGTTTAATGATTGAATTACAACTGAAATTTAAGACGCAAAAAGGAATATAAAAAGGGCATAAGAACAAACCGCAATGCGCGTGAAGATAAGCGATGCGTATTCACATAGGTACGCGTTCTGCACTGAAGCTAGCTGGAGGAACATTTGAAAACACAATTCAGTCCACTAATAGTGATGTTTTTGTACGACAGATAGACAGCGATTCACTGTACGAAAAAGTCTCAAAAGTGTCCCCAAAACGTCTCGCTCCATTGCCCCCATATCGCCCCCTTTTTGTTCTTCGCCCCCGCGTCGCCCCTTTTCATTCCATCGCCCCCCTGAAAAACGAAATCGCCCCCTGGGGGGCGATATCGCCCAGGTTAAGAACCACTGGTATAGAGCACGTTTACGTGTGTGTTACGTATGGGCACACTTTTGAGAACAGGCCACAGAGTTTCATTTTTAATCTGTGCCAGTGTGCCCACAGCAAAAAATAAAATAAAAATAAAATGACAATAAAAGTTATCTTATTATCATGCTTTTTCTGTTTCAAGCTTCCTTCTAAGTCCACAAGCAGGGCTCTTCAAACTTAGCCCTTGGATGATTTGTAGACTTCAGCTCCCAGAATTCCTCAGCCAGCATGCCTGGCTGAGGAATTCTGGGAGTTGAAGTCCACAAGCAGGGCTCTTCAAACTTGGCCCTTTGATGACTTGTGGACTTCAAACTTGGCCCCCTCATGACTCGTGGACTTCAACGCCCAGAATTCCTGAGCCAGCATGGCTCAGCTTGGAAACCTCTCCCTTTCCCCTCAGCATGGCTGGCTCAGGAATTCTGGGAGTTGAAGTCCACCAGTCATCAAAGGGCCAAGTTTGAAGACCCCTGCTCTCTCTGATCAACAAGAAATCTCTCTGGTAGCCAAGCATGGAAATTGCCTCGCAACAAACTGACATTATATTCTATTGATTGATTGATTAATTGAATGATTCGAATCCCACCTTTATTATTATTATTATTTCAAACAACCCAAGGTGGCGAACATATCCAACACACTTTGTTTCCTCCTTTCTCCCCACCAGAGAGAGAGAGAGAGAGACTTTTTTTTTTGCTCTTTTGAGAATAACTGCAGTTAAGTCAATCATGTGGTTGTTAAGTGAATCTGGTTGGGGGGGGGATTGATCAGAAACCAGCTGGGAAGATCACAAATGGTGATCCCATGACCCCGGGACAGTGCAACTGTCATAAATATATGCCAGGTGAACAAGCCCCTGAATGTTGATCATCTGACCGTGGGGATCCTGCAACGGTCGTAATTGTGAAAACAGGTCCTAAGTCATTTTTTGGGGTGCCATTGTAACTTCCATCAGTCACTAAAAGGATGGTTGTAAGTTGAGGACTACCTGCAGCCGAATCTAATTTCCTATTCCTGTACCCAGCCATAGAGATTATAGAGTACCTTAAAATTTTTTAAAATAATCAAAAGGTCTACAGATGTTACCTGCCTCATACTTATTTGTGGGGGAAGGCAGATTCGCTTAACAACCAGTTTACTCGCCTACCTTCTGCAGGGAGGGATTAACTGCCGTTGAGAGAAAAGAGTAAAGGAGGGGAGAAGGAAGTAGGAAGGTTGGAGGAGAAGAGGAGAAGTGGGGGGAAAGGGTAGGAGAGTGGTGAAGGAAAGAGAAGAGGAGAGGAAGAAGAGGGAAGTAGGGAAGAGAAGAAAGGAAGAAAGAAGGTAGAGAAGAAGGAGTGTGGATACAGTGAAAGGGGAAATGGGCGAGCAACACCAAAAGTCCTGTGTATGTATTTATTTCATTTTTTTTATTATTATAAATTTTTACAATTTTACAATAAAAACCCCTTCCCCAATCCCTCCCAACCCACCCCAAAACCCTCCCCCATTCTTCCCAGAGCTGAATACAGGGTTAACTATAACTTATAAGAAAAAACTTTTAAACCCAAATAAACCTCAAACAAGTATAATTACATTCAGTAAACAAATTATTAAATACTTTAACTCCATTATATATAAAAAACAGAAAGAGAAAAAGAAGAAAAGAAAAAAATAAAAAAATTATAAAAAAACAAAAACAAAACTATTCTACAACTTCTAAATAGTATCTTAAACTTTAAATATAAATTATTCAAAAGCTAAATGGTATTTTCTTATATCATACTTATATTGTATAAAATTTATCCATCTTTTCCACACCGAGAGATACTTCTCTGGCGATTGATCTTTCCAAAAAGCCGAAATTTTTGCCATTTTCGGCTAAATAAGAAACTTTAAAAAAACCATTCCTGCAAAGTAGGCAAAGCTTCCTCCTTCCAATATTGCCCTATTAACCACCTTGCCCCTGTCAGTATTTATTTCATTTTATTAAAGGTATCTTATCTATGAACGTAAAAAGAACGTATGTGATAAATATCACGGTATGTGTATGGGGGAGAGTTTGGAAAAATAAAAAATAAAATAAAATAAAAACAAAGGCCTCCCTTAGCGATGGGAATTTTGGGCTCCGTTCCGGGCGTAAGTCCGGGAACTCCCTGTAAAAGTACACACAGTCCTTGGCTTACAACAGTACATTTAGGGATCATTCAGAGTTACAACGGAACTGAGGGGGGGGGAAAAGGGCACAGATGTATTTTATGAGGGCAAGTCACAAGGATAAGGCGGGTGGCCAGTGAATTTCATCAACCAATCATAAACTGACGTTCCTGTTCCTTTGCCAGGCAAAACGTGCGTCATCTCGCGCAAGAGGGAAGAAGAGGAAGAAGAGGAATCCCGCAAACCGGAAGGGCATCTCTCTCGGGTCAGGCAGGTAAATGGCAGGAGAACAGGTGGGTGGGGAGGGGCCAGCCATGTGCCTCTGAAGAGGAGGTGGGAGGGGATGATGGGGGAGGTGATCAGCAGGGACAGGTAAGCCCCCTGCCTCCCCATTTTGGAATAAATGTTTACTGGAGGCAGTTGAGCAGTTTCTCCTCATTATTATTGTTATTATTATTATATTTTTTTCTATTGAAAATTTTTAACAATACAGTTCCCTTCCCCAAGCCCCCCCCAAGCCCCCCCATACCCTCCCCCGACCTTCCCAGAGCTGAATACAGGCTTAATTAAAATTTTTCAAAAAATCTTAAAACAGATATAAACCATTAACAAGTCTAAATACATTAATTAAACCAATTTATGAAATAGTTAACAATAATATATATATATAAAGACAAAAATACAAGAAAATACAAAAAAAATAGGAAGAAAGGAAAAAGAAAAAAGAAGGAAGAGAAAAAAGAAAAAAGAAAAGGAAAGTCTATAAAATCTATAAAATATCTTAAATTTTAAATATAAGTTGTGAAAAGCTAAATAATATTTTTTTATGTCCAACTTATGTTGTATAAAGTCTATCCATTTTTTCCATACCCAAAAATACTTCTCTTGCGGTTGGTGTTTTAAGAAAGCCGAAATCTTTGCCATTTCCGCCAAATAAGAAACTTTAAAAAAACCACTCTTGCAAGGTAGGCAAAGATTCCTTCTTCCAACATTGCCCTACTAACAACCTTGCCGCTGTAATTAAATTTAACATCAATATAGTCTCTTTAGTATCACAATCAGAAACAATACCTAACAAAAACAATTGTGGGGTAAATTTTACCCTTCTAAAAATTCTTTGGATATTCCACCATATCTTAATCCAAACGCTGCTTTAAGCTCCCCCTTTTGGCTGTAAAAACACAAAAGAATAATGATAATAATATTATTGTTATTATTATCATTATTCTTTTGTGTTTTTACAGCCAAAAGGGGGGGCTTAAAGCAGCGCTTGTCTTTAATTCAGCGGTTCTCAACCTTTCTAATGCCGCGACCCCATAATACAATTCCCCATGTTGTGGTGATCCCCAACCACTAATACATCACCGGGTGCCAGGGGCGTGGCCAAAGAAAAGGGGGGGAAAAATGGCGGACAGCCTTGTTTGGCGACCCCCGTGAAATGGTCGTTCGACCCCAAATGGGATCCCGATCCACAGGTTGAGAACCACTGCTTTAATTCCTCTTTGAAAATAGCTGATAATACATTATTTGGTGGGGAGGTGGGTGTTGGTTGCTGGATGTTTTGTGCTTCAGGCTGGGGGGGGGGGGGATCATTGGCTGCTAAAAGAAGCGCCATGAAGGATCACTTCGATGGATCCTGATCTGTCATTCTGCCGGGGAAGTATTGAGTCTGTCACGTGATTTTGATTCCGAACACAGGCCTGGAATGAAAATCACGTGAAGTGTTAGTGCCGCTTTATAAAACCTCAGTAAAGGCCACCTCTGGAATCCTGCATGTATTTATTTATTTATGAGACTTATATACCGCTTTAAGTGCAAGCACTCTCTAAGCGGTGTACACCAGTAAGCAATGTGTGTATATATATTTACATTGCCCCCAACAATCTGGGTCCTCATTTTACCTACCCCGGAAGGATGGAAGGCTGAGTCAACCTTGAGCCGGTGAAATTTGAACCGCTGACCTGCTGAACACAGTCAGCTAAAGTGGCCTGCAGTACTGCACTCTAACTGCTGCGCCACCTTGGCTCATCCAGTTTTGGTCACATTACAAAAAAAAAAAAAAAAGATGTTGAGACTTGGGAAAAAGCGCAGAGAAGAGCAACTAAGAGGATTAAAAGCCTGGAAACTAAAACATAGGAAGGACAGCTGCAGGATTTGGGTATGGCCGGTGTAGGGGTGACATGATTGCAGTCTTCCAGTATTTGAGGAGGTGCCCCAAAGAAGAAGGGGTCAAGCTATTCTCCACAGCACCTGAGGGCAGGGCAAGAAACAACGGTCGGAAACTGACCAAAGAGAGAAGCAACCTGGAATTAAGGAGAAACTTCCTGACAGTGAGGACAATGAACCAGTGGAACCGCTTGCCACTAGAAGTTGTGGTAGCTCCATCACTGGAGGTTTTTAAGAAGAGACTGGACAGCCACTTATCTGAAATGGCATAGAGTCTCCTGCTTGAGCAGGGACCTGGACTAGAGGACCTCCAAGGTCCCTTCCAGCTCTGTTGTGATTGATTTATACCAGGGGTAGGCCACCTTGGCTCTTTTATGACTCGTGGACTTCAACTCCCAGAATTCCTGAGCCAGCCACGCTGAGGGAAAAAGGGAGAGGTTTCCAAGCTGAGCCAGGCTGGCTCAGGAATTCTGGGAGTTGAAGTCCACGAGTCATAAAAGAGCCAAGGTTGCCTACCCCTGATTTATACCTCTATAAGTGTCTGATATGGCACAGCAACCAAACAGGACCTGTACAGACTCCAATGGATAGTTAGGACTGCAGAAAAAACCAGTTGCAGCCAGCTGCCTTCCATTGAGGACCTGTACATTGCATGGGTCAGAAGGAGGGCTGGGAAATTATCTACAGACCCCTCTCATCCAGGACATAAACTGTTTCAACTCCTCTAGTTGTTTTGGCACACCGCTACAGGGCATTGTGTGTGCCAAAACAACTAGACACAGGGACGTTTATTTCCTCCTTGTGCCCTCACTTTGCTGAACCCCTAATTCCCATAGTACTGCCTTACGTTGGAGTATATTTACCCATCTTGTATGGCTATATTATTATTATTATTATCGATCATTGCACAGTCAGCCAGATGTTCAGACTGGATTTGGCATTTTGTCTACCTATCGAGTCCTTACCCAGGACCTGGGATAGGCAGATGTGGATGTTTGATGGTATTACAGATATCGTCGCAGGATGGAAGCAGTTCCTAGTAAGGCCGCCTTTTGCAATTGACTAATAGCGAATTTGTCAATGCCAATGGGGTTCAAGTGGTTCTCCAGTTGTTTTGGGATTGCACCCAAGGAGCCTATGACTATTGGTACTACCCTTGCTTGCTTTTGCCACAGTCTTTCTATTTCTATTTGTAGGTCTTTGTATTTTGTTATCTTCTCCAGTTCTTTCTCTTCTATTCTGCTGTCTCCAGGCACTGCCACGTCCACTATCCAGACTTTTTTGCCTTTCTTATCGACAATTGTTAAGTCTGGGGTGTTATGTTGCAGGTGCTTGTCTGTTTGCATTCTGAAGTCCCAGAGCAGTTTAATTTTATCATTTTCTATGACTTTCTCTATTTTATGATCCCACCAGTTTTTGCTTACAGGCAAATGATATTTTTTGCAGATCTTCCAATGCACCATTGTTGCTACTTTGTCATGCCGCTGCTTGTAGTCAGTCTGTGCAATCTTCTTGCAACAGCTTACCAAGTGGTCCACTGTTTCTTCAGCTTCTTTGCATAGGCGGCACTTACTGTCTGTTGCTGTCTTCTCAATTTTGACTTTATATGCATTTGTCCTTAAGGCTTGGTCTTGTGCAGCCAGAATTAGTCCCTCGGTCTCTTTCTTCAATTTTCCTGCTCTTAGCCATTGCCAGGTCTTGTTATTATCTGCTTTCCCAGCTATTTTTTTAATGTATTGGCCATGTAGTGCTTTGTCTTCCCATGCCTCTATTCTGTTCTTCATTTGGTCTTTCTTGTAGGCCAGTTTGGTCTCTCCAGTAGTCAGTAAGCCTTCCTGATACACTAATTTCAGTGCATCTTCATCATTGTTCTTCAGATATTCTTCCAAAGCCATTTTTCCTTCTTCTTCTTCTTCTTCTATTATTATCGATCATCGCACAGTCAGCCAGATGTTCAGACTGGATTTGGCATTTTGTCTACCTATCGAGTCCTTACCCAGGACCTGGGATAGGCAGATGTGGATGTTTGATGGTATTACAGGTATCGTCGCAGGATGGAAGCAGTTCCTAATAAGGCCGCCTTTTGCAATTGACTAATAGCAAATTTGTCAATGCCAATGGTGTTCTATTATTATTATTATTATTATTATTATTATTATTATTATTATTATTATTATTATTATTACCTTAAGGCTTGGTCTTGTGCAGCCAGAATTAGTCCCTCGGTCTCTTTCTTCAATTTTCCTGCTCTTAGCCATTATTATTATTATTATTATTATTATTATTATCTTTCTCATCTTCTCTGCTACCCCTATTTATTGGTACCGTTATTATGGTTATTGTTACTCTGCTGTTTTGTGTGTACATTTGAGAGCTTCTTCACCCCAGACAAATTCCTTGGGTGTCTAACTACACTTAGCCAAATAAAGTACAGTTCCCCAACTTTTCCGGCTTTGCGGACCGGCGGGGGAAGGAGAGGCGAAGCGTCCTGCTCAAGCGGCCAAGCAACCGGGCGCAAGCAGATACATTTTTGTGAGCGGCGGGTCTGGGTGCCCGCCGCTCACACAGATGGAGCACGCTCACCTGTCTCACCCACTGCTCACCCAAATGGGGGGGCACCCGCCCCTTCTGCGGCCCAGTTGCAAACCATTCACGAGCCAGTACTGGGCTGCAGCCCAGGGGTTGGGGACCCCCTGCAATAAAATGTCCGTGGAGATTCTCCGTCTTCCAGGTAATAGTTGTCTGAAAGGTGATATTTTTTTCAGGAGGCTGTTCTTCTCCAGAGAACTTCTAACTATTGGGTTACTAATACATCTGAGAATTCAATACCTTGCAGCATATCTTCTGTATTAGCAGTTGAACTAGAACAAGGGTGTCAAACTCACAATGTCACGTGACATGTTAATAATAATAATAATAATAATAATAATAATAATAATAATAATAATAATAGTTGGAAGGGACCTTGGAGGTCATCTAATCCAACTGGACTGTCTTATTTTTCCTTTGAAGACGTTTCGCTTCTCATCTCAGAAGCTTCCTCGGCTCTGGCCGAGTGATCTGGAACGGAAGGATTTATACTCCTTGCAGACAGCTGGTCATTTGCCTTTTTTTGGGAGAGTCGTCGAGGCCACTGGGAGGTTTGTCTGTGTCTTACAGGGTCAACGGAGTGCTGCAAATGGGTGTAGGGCCTTCTTGGAACTAACTGCTGGAAGGACTGTGTGGTAGACTGGAGATGGACAGTGTCGTATCCTTCCCCCCCCCCCCTACTGAGAGAGGGCTGTTCAGTTTTGACACAGATGGTCTTACTTATCTTTGAAAGAGGGGTCAAAGAGGCCAAATTGATGTCTATATTGAACAGCCCACTCTCAACAGAGGGGGAAGGATACGACATCGTCTTATCTCCAGTCTACCACACAGTCCCAAGAAGGCTCCACATCCATTTGCACCACTCAGGTGACCCCCAAGGACACAGGTAAACCTCAAGGTGGCCTCAACGACAGTGGTTCTCAACCTGTGGGTCGGGACCCCATTTGGGGTCGAACGACCATTTCACAGGGGTCGCCAAACAATGCAGTCTGCCATTTTTTCCCCCCTTTTCCTTAGCTGTGCTCCTCCCTTTTATTCTATTGGCTTTTGAAAGCCAATAGAATAGACTCTCTTGAATAGAGTCTAATTCTGTTGGCTTTCAAAAGCCAATAGGAATTGTCCAGGCTGTCTCTGCCCTGCTGAGCCCACCGAAAGCCCCAGTCTGCAAACGGTGCTGCACCAGTTGAGTAGTCCTCGACTTACGACCGGTTGAGTAGTCCTCAACTTACGACCGGTGGGGGGGGGTCGCAGCATTAAAAAGGTTGAGAACCACTGCTCTAAAAGAAGGCAAACGACCAGCTGTCTGCAAGGAGCATAAATCCTTCCACTCCCCACTATCCAGTCGGAGCCGAAGAAGCTTCTGGAACGAGAAGCGAAACGTCTTCAAAGAAAAGAGAAAAAAAAAAAGTCCAGTTGCCTCTTGAGACGCACCTGCAATTCAGTGTTTTTATTCTCCCCTTCTCCTTTTAGGCCAGAGTGGTGAAGACTGCGGGAGGCAGTCATGCCCTGGTGAGCGAAGAGCGGGAGCCTTCCCTTCGGAGTCGCAGAGTTGCCCAGCGGGTGCCCGTCAAAGAGGAGGAGGAAGAGGAGGAGGAGGAGGAAGAAGAAGAGGAGGAGGAAGAGGAGGAGGAGGAAGAGGAGGAGGAGGAGGAAGATGCGCCTCCTTTGCTGGTCGGCCAGACGCCCATGAGGCCAGAGGAGCCGGGCATGCCGGCTCCCCAAGAGACGGGCATGTTCCAAGCTTCCCTGCCCATCGTCCTGCAAGCCCAGCAAACGGAGGCTCGTGCTCAGATGCCAGACAGCCCGAGCTGTGAAGCCGCCATGCCAGTCCTCGCCCACTTGCAGAGGTCAGAAGATGAGGAGGAGGCGGCTCAGCCCCAGGCGACGCTTCCAGGGGACAAGCAGCCGGCAGCTCTAACCCCCGGGGAAGCCCCCGAGGCCCAAGAAAAGGAGCCCCTCCCGGCCACCCCAAGGGAGGAGGCTGCCCCCCAGTTACCTGAAGCCTTAAAAATGGAGGCCGAGGAAGAGCCAGGCCTTCCGAAGGAGCCGAGGTCGACCGGCCTCTCCGAGGTGCCCCAGGAGAAGGAGCAGGAGGAGGAGATGATGGAGCAGGGTGAGACCCCAGAGGTCGGGTTACAGAAAGAGGCTGAACCCCAGAGCGAGGAGACCCTCGAGGGGGCAGCCACCCGGGCACTGCGCAGCCTGGAGGAAGAGACGTCTGCTGCCGCCGCGGCGCTGGTGCAGGCCTCTCCGTCTCCCCCCCAGCTGATTGACGCCCAACAGGCCCAACAGGATCCTCGGGGAGACGAGCCGCCCCCTCCGCTCTTGACCAAGGAAGCCCCCGGGGGACTCGCTCCGGCCGAAGACGAAGCCCCTCCTCAGCTCTCGCAGCCGTCTCCCCCCGCTCAGGAAGCTCCGGCTGGAGCCAGCCTCGGAGTCTCGCCGTCCCCTTCAGCGCTCCCGCCACAAGCACCCGTACGGCCTGGCAGCTCCCGCTCCTCCTCCTCCTCGTCTTCCAGCTCCTCCCGTTCTCGTTCCCGCTCCCCGGGCAGCTCGCCGCCCCGCTCCCGGGCCAGGAGGCCCCGCTCCGCTTCCTCCGAATCACCTGCTCGGAAGCGGCCAGTGTTGGGATCTCCGTCCCGCTCCGGTTCGGAGCGGCGCAGCAGTTTGGGCTCCCGGTCCAGATCCCGCTCCAGCAGCGGGGGCAGCAGCGGCAGCAGCCAGGTGAGTGGATTCGGGCTTTCCTCGCGCCCTCGGCGAGGGTTGCATCCTCACACGCCGGTCGGGGAATTTTACAGGTGGTCCTCGACTTAACGTCCATCACATTGAAGATGTTGCATTAAGGGGAAAAGGGAAAAGGTTGGATTAACGGGTGGTACTTGGCTTGCCGCAGTTCATTTAGTGACTGTTCAAAGTCGCTGGAAAAAAAAAGGGGGCTTATGATCCGTTTCCACACTTGACAACCCTCGCGGGATCCCTACAGTCACGGGATCCGAATTCAGATGTTGGAAACTGGCATGTACTTATGACTGTTGCAGCATCCCGGGCTCCTGCGATCCCCTTTTGCATCTTCTGACAAACCAAATCCATGGGAGAAACTGGATTCACTTAACCAGGTAGTTAGACTGTGGTAAGAAAGGTCGTAAAATGGGGTGAAATGCCCTTGGCAAACGTTTTGATTGACAGCAGAAATTTCAGGGCTTGATTTTGATCATACGTCGAGGACTACCCGTGTAAGCAAATCGGCATATGTCTTTGCTAACGATAGCCTGTTTTGAACCCAGTGCCTAGGCCAGGGGTCTTCCAACTTGGCCCTTTTATGACTTGTGGACTTCAACTCCCGGAATTCCTCAGCCAGGCCCGCTGGCTGAGGAATTCTGGGAGCTGAAGTCCACGAGTCATAAAAGGGCCATAGTTCCCTCACGCTGGCTGAGGAATTCTGGGAGCTGAAGTCCATAAGTCATAAAAGGGCCAAGTTGGAAGACCCCTGCTTGTGGACTTCAACTCCCAGAATTCCTCAGCCAGGCATGCTGGCTGAGGAATTCTGGGAGCTGAAGTCCACGAGTCATAAAAGGGCCATAGTTCCCTCACGCTGGCTGAGGAATTCTGGGAGCTGAAGTCCACAAGTCATAAAAGGGGCAAGTTGGAAGACCCCTGCTTGTGGACTTCAACTCCCAGAATTCCTCAGCCAGGCACACTGGCTGAGGAATTCTGGGAGCTGAAGTCCACAAGCCATAAAAGGGCCATAGTTCCCTCACGCTGGCTGAGGAATTCTGGGAGTTGAAGTCCACAAGTCATCAAAGGGCCAAGTTGGAAGAGCCCTGGCCTAGACCTAGGGACACTTGCTTTTAAATCGTAGCTGCAGGAGCCTTGTGAGATGTTGCCAAACATTTTCGGAAAACAGATATTTCCAACTCAGAACAAATTGATTTTTGGGGGGGGGGGGATAATGGGAACATTTGATGTAAAGCAATCATCGGATTTTAGACGCCTTCCTGCTCGCTTCTAGTCTCATTATTTTCAAGCTTGCTTTCTTTAAAAAAAAAAAAAAAGATATATTTTACGGCTTGGCCCAAAAGGAAAAACGCGGCAGGTAGCTTGTTCTTCAGCACTTCAGGATGCTTTAATGAAAACCCATTTCAAAGTGTTGGTATACAATTTGAGAGACGCTGTCCCCTCAGATGCTGATCGGCCGTTTGTCATTTGTCCACCAGCGTCCTCACAAAGCCAGTGGATTTTGTGAAAAGACTTGCCAATATCTCTAGAATTTATTTCAAGTCACTGAACATCAAAAGTTCCAGCCACTTTTTTTGTTTTTAAAGGCATCTTCAGTTAATTGCTTGGCGCCGCTTGATCTTTTTTTTTTTAAAAGGCCTACAAACCGCAGAGGCATTATTACATCTTTCTGTGTGAAAATGTTTGGTAAGGCAGCGGAGACTCTGCTTTCTATAAATCAGATGAAACATTTAAAAACATTATCTTTTCCTCCTGGAAAAGAATCCTTCTTTCTCAGACCAGCTCTTATTTATAGAGATTTTCAGCTGATCCAGGGGCAAATCCATAAAATTACTCCTGTATCCTGTGAGGTCCTTGGTGCTCTCTGAACTAGCTGGGTGCTTTTTCTTTCAGACGTTTTGTGACCAAACTAGGTAACATCATCAGCTGCTGACGTTAGTGCCGGCGCTGATGATGATACCTAGTTTGGCTGTGAAACGTCTACAAGAAAAGCACCCAGCTCAGAGAGCAGCACACTTCGCCCCGGAGCTACACAATACAGGTAGTCCTCAAATTTCTGACCACAGTTGAGTCCAAAATGTCTGTCGCTAAGTGAGACGTTTGTTAAGCGAATTGTACCCCATTTTACAGCTCTGTAAAATGTGAATCACTCGGATTGTTAAAGCAATCTGGCTTCCCCAGATTTTGGACTTTGGACTTTGCTTGTGGGAAGGTCACAAAAGGGGATCACGTGACACCCCCCCCTACACATACACACACACCAGGATGCCGTCATAAATATGAGTCAGTTGCCAAGCGTCTGAAATTTAATTGCGTGATCGTGGGGGTGCTGGAATGCTCACGTGAAAAACGGTCAAAAGACAGCAAAATGGTTGTAAAGTCACTTTTTTCAATGACTCCCCGGACACTCCCAACGGTCGTAAGTATAAAGCAGTTGCCAGGCATTTTGAATTTTGATCCCATGGGGACACTGCAGCGGTTGTTAAGTGTGAAAAGCATTCCTGAATCGCTTTTTTTCAGGCCGTTGCAACTTTTGAAACAGTCACTAAATGAACGCTTCTAAAGTGAAGGGGTTACAGGATAGCAGCAATACCGTATAATATAATTATAACCGTTGGAGGCTGTTTAGATTTGCTGCCAATTGAATTAGGGCACAAGCAGGCTAGCCAGTTATAACAGCACAAAACTTCCTTTTTTTAAAAAAAAATTATTTATAATACAATTGAAAACAAACAAACATTGGATTTGACGTGACATTCCAGTATATACATTCTTATCAGATTATTCCACTTTTTACAATCAATTCTTCATCTCTACATATACATCTAAGTTTTATATACAATACTTGTTCTAAAACAGTGGTTCTCAACCTGTGGGTCGGGACCCCATTTGGGGTCGAACGACCATTTCACGGGGGTCGCCAAACAACGCAGTCCGCCATTTTTTCCCCCTTTTCCTTAGCTGTGCTACTCCCTTTTATTCTATTGGCTTTTGAAAGCCAATAGAATAGACTCTCTTGAATAGAGTCTAATTCTATTGGCTTTCAAAAGCCAATAGGAATTGTCCAGGCTGTCTCTGCCCTGCTGAGCCCGCCAAAAGTCCCATTCTGCAAACGGTGCTGCACCAATTGAGTAGTCCTCGACTTACGACCGGTTGAGTAGTCCTCGACTTATGACCGGCTGGGGGTCGCGGCATTAAAAAGGTTGAGAACCACTGTTCTAAAATAACATATATTTCTATCTTAACATTCGTCTTTAATCCCTACTGTCCTCTTCGAATTCCTCCTGCGGTAAAATTTATCCCAGGTTTCATAATAAACTGATCCACATTTGTCTTTTAATATCATTGTGAGCCTGTCCATTTCTGCACATGCTAATATTTTATGAATTAACTCTTCCTCTGTGGGAATTTCCTTGCTCTTCCATTTTTGCCCTAAAGCAAGCCTAGCTGCAGTCAGGATGTGTAGCAGCAGGTAGATGGTTCCCTTGTCACATTTTTCTGTCGTTATTCCCAACGAGGAGAGTTCAGGTTTTAACTCTTAAGTCCAGTGTTAATATATCCCTCAACCAGTTTCGAACACCACAAAACTTTCAAAGCAAGCTGAGCTTCAGGGAATATTGGACCCTGAGCGGTCACTAAACGAACGGTCGTCAGCCGAGGACTGCCTGTATTCTCGTCTATAGAAATTGGATGGAGGGATGAGTGAGTGAGTGAGTGAGTGAGTGAGTGAATGAATCAATCAAATCCTACATTCCATCTTAACCCACCCAGCCTTTTTGGAGAAACAGCCGAAGAACACAGAAATGCCAAAAATTCTTCTCTTTTCTCTCCCCCCCCCCACAGTCCCGTAGCCGTGAAGCTTCGCGGGACAGCGCCGGCGTCCATCCCACCAAAGAGTCCTCCCCGCACGGGCCGTGGCTCCCACCCCGCAGCCCCAAGGCCCAGCACCAAGAGATCCCGCCAAGCCCCAAGGAAGAAGGGAAACGCGTCCCTTCCCCTCCTTCGGATCCTCAGAGGCAACACAGCCACACCCCACCACCGCAGCAGCCACCAGCAGCACACAGCGTGGAGACCGAGAGCACGTTGCCAGAACGAGTACGGAGCAGCCAAGGGAGGGGGGGTGTTTCCAGTGGGCTCTTTGGGGGTCCCAGCTCCACTTTGGGGGGTGGGGGTGGCCATTTTGGGGGGTGGGGGCGGCCAGGAGACCCGGCCCTGTGGCCCCTTCCTGCTAAATTAACCCTTTCCCCACAGGCCAGCCCAGAGCCCCCCTTTCCAGCGGACGGGTCCAGCCTAGAGAGTGGGGGTCCCGCCTCAGACCCGCAGCGCCTGGCCGAGCCATTGCGTAGTAAAACGTGAGTATCGGAGGGATGGGATCGCTCCACGTGCCACTCGCTCCATTGTAAATACCTGACTTGGGAAGGTAGATCAACGGCCGGAAGGGGTGGGGAGAATGGGGGCACCCCGAAAAGTGCAGGACACCCAACACTCGTCTCTCTCTCTGTGGCTCTGAGCACGCCAAGCGGAGCAAGTCTCACAAAGCACAGTGGCTACAGGAAAGAGCTGGGGTGCAAGAGCCAATGTTGCTGAGAAACTGACCAGATCCATGGCCTGTTCCATTGGGACGCCTTGGTCAGCCTTGGTCGTCGTAAGGCGGCCTGGCCAGGAGGATCTTGGGCAGGGCCGACCCTCTGTCCTTTCCCACAAACCAGGGTTGGGATTCAAGGAGGGAGATTCTTTAATACGTCCCACTACAATTATTTGCAATTTTTTAAAAGAAATTAGCATTTACCCCGAATTAAGGGATTAGACCTTAAGGTCTGAGGCAGTGGTTCTCAACCTGTGGGTCGGGACCCCATTTGGGGTCGAACGACCATTTCACGGGGGTCGCCAAACAATGCAGTCCGCCATTTTTTCCCCCTTTTCCTTAGCTGTGCTACTCCCTTTTATTCTACTGGCGTTTGAAAGCCAATAGAATAGACTCTCTTGAATAGAGTCTAATTCTATTGGCTTTCAAAAGCCAATAGGAATTGTCCAGGCTGTCTCTGCCCTGCTGAGCCCGCCAAAAGTCCTGTTCTGCAAACGGTGCTGCACCAGTTGAGTAGTCCTCGACTGATGACCGGTTGAGTAGTCCTCGTCTTACGACCGGTTGGGGGTCACGGCATTAAAAAGGTTGAGAACCACTGGTCTAAGGGCTGGCTGAGGAATTCTGGGAGTTGAAGTCCACCAGTCTTAAAGTGGCCGAGTTTGGAGACCCCTTGGATTAGACGGTCGTAAAAAGGGAGCTCCCAACCCAAGTGATTGAGATCCATGCTTGATTTGGAATCGGTTAGTCAGGCCCTGTATAGAGGGTTGATCCCATTTCATGTGGGGGGGGGCTAGCCTCTAAGGGAAGCTTCCTGTGTGCTTGACCAGTTGGATGGGGGGGATGGATCCTGCAGCATCTTAAGGGAAGGTTCCTGCGCACTTGACCGGTTGGATAGGATTTGGCCTCTGGGATGAATCCCGCAGCCTCTGTGGGAAGAATCCTGCTAGCTTCACTGGTTGGGTGGGGAGGGGGCTGACATCTAAGGGATGTATACTGAAGGGAAGGGTCCTGCGTGCTTGACCGGTTGGATGGAGGGCTGACATGTACGGGATGGATCCCACATCTTCTAAAGAAGGTTTTCTGTGTGCTTGACCAGTTGGATGGGGCAAATGGATCTGGCAGCCTCTTAAGGGAAGGTTCCTGGGTGCTTGACCGCTTGGATGGGGGGCTGGCCTGTAAAAGGGATGGTCCCAGGCGCTTGACCAGTTGGATGGGGGGCTGGCCTCTGAGGGATGGGTCCCACAGCCTCTTAAGGGAAGGTCCCTGGGCGCTTGACCGGTTGGATGGAGGGCTGGGCCTGTAAAAGGGATGGGTTCTGTGGCCTAAGGGAAGGTCCCTGGGCGCTTGACCGGTTGGATGGGGGGCTGACCTCTGAGGGATAGACCCCAGCAGCCTCTAAGGGAAGGGTCCAGCACGCTTGACCGGTTGGATGGAGGGCTGGCCTCTGATGTATGGGTCCCACAGCCTCTAAGGGAAAGTTCTGGGGCGCTTGACCAGTTGGATGGGAGGCTGGCCTCTAACGGGGGTGGATCAGACTCTTAAGGGAAGGGTCCTGGGCGCTTGACCTCTTGGATGGGGGGCTTGCCTCTGAGGGATGGACCCGGCAGCCTCTAAGGGAAGGGTCCTGGGTGCTTGACCGGTTGGATGGGGGGCTGGCCTGTAAAAGGCTTGGGTCCGGGCGCTTGACCAGTTGGATGGGGGGCTGGCCTCTGAGGGATGGACCCGGCAGCCTCTAAGGGAAGGGTCCTGGGCACTTGACCAGTTGGATGGGGAGCTGGCCTGTAAAAGGGATGGGTCCCGCGGCCTCTTAAGGGAAGATTCCTGCACGCTTGACCGGTTGGATGGGGGGCTGACCTCTGAGGGATGGACCCGGCAGCCTCTAAGGGAAGGGTCCAGCAGGCTTGACCGGTTGGATGGAGGGCTGGCCTCTGATGTATGGGTCCCACAGCCTCTAAGGGAAGGTTCTGGGGCGCTTGACCAGTTGGATGGGAGGCTGGCCTCTACCAGGGGTGGATCCCTCAGCCTCTTAAGGGAAGGGTCCTGGGTGCTTGACCTGTTGGATGGGGGGCTGGCCTCTGAGGGATGGGTCCCGCAACCTCTAAGCTAAGGGAAGGGTCCTGGGTGCTTGACCGGTTGGATGGGGGGCTGGCCTGTAAAAGGGATGGGTCCCACGGCCTCTTAAGGGAAGATTCCTGCACACTTGACCGGTTGGATGGGGGGCTGACCTCTGAGCGATGGGTCCTGCAGCCTCTATAGGAAAGTTCTGGGGCGCTTGACCGGTTGGATGGGGGGGCTGGCCTGGAAGAGGGACGGCTCCCGCAGCGCCCTGATGCCAGACTGGGGAGGGGGCCTCCCCGAGATGATCCGGGGACCCTCCCCGTCCTTGCAGCTTCGCCCGGCCCCGCCCCTCGGGGTCCCTCTGCCCCCTCCCCTCCCGCCTCCGCATCCTGGGCGGCCCCCCTCCTCCCCCTCCCCCCCGCGCCTTCTCCCGGGGGCTGCCGGGAAAGCAGCAGCAGCATCGGCGGCGCCGGCAAGATGGCCCCGCCGCCCGTCCGCGGCTCCGCTGTTGCGCCGCTGGTGCCGCCGCCGTTCATGCCGCTCCGGGTGCCGCCGCCGCCCCCCGCCCGCTCCGAGCCGCTCCGGCGCCTGCGGGACTGCTAGAGGCGGAGCCCAGGAAGCCCCGACCCGGCCATGCTGCTCTCCGAGAGCAAGGGAGGGTGAGACCGGGGCCCGGCCGGCCTGGCGACCTCCGCAGCCCCCCCCCCTCCTCCCCAGCCGCTGTCCTTCCCTCCCTCCTCCCCTCCCGCCTCTCTCTCCTCTCCTGCGCCATTCTCTCCTCTTCCTCCTCCTCCCCCCGCCAGCCGCCTCCATTCATTCCCCGATTCATTCACTCCCTTCCCGCGGCCCCTCCCCCCTCCTCCTCTTTTCTCTGCCTCGCGCCTCCTGGACTCCCCCCTCCCTCCTCTCTCCCCCTCCTCCTGCCCTCCATTTTCTCTCTCTCTCCCTCCTCCAGCCAGCCCCCTCCCCAGCTCGTCGGCCCTTCCCTTTGACAGGGCGCCCCCCCCCTCCCTCCAAGCTTTCCCTTTCTTCCCAGGAGGTCCCACTTTCACTGCTGTTTTCCCCCTGCTTGGCTGGCTGTTCCCTCTCCCCTCCCTCCTCTCTCTCTAACCCCCCCTTCCTTCCAAGACTCTGGGTCTTCTCCCGGCCTTCCAGCTGCTTCCTCTGCTGGATTCTCCTCCTCCCCCCCCCATCACCCATCCTTCTCCCCCCCCCCCGGTTTTCCACCGCCTGCCCTTTTTTCCCTGCAGAGATTTTTTTTTCTCTCTCTCTCTCTCTCTCTCTCTCCCCCTCCCTTCCTTGTTCCCCGCTTTCCATCCTGCACGTGGCTGCCTTTCCCTGCTCGGCTTCCCTCTTTCTGCTTTTTGGGCTCCTGGCCCTCCACATTCGCCCCCTCCTCCCCGCAAGCAACAGTAGGGCCCTAGGACGAGGCGGCCCCCGGGATCGGGTGGGGAGGGGTGGTGGTGGTGGGGTTGTCTCTGGAGATGGGAAGCCAGTGGTGTAAGTGATCCGGGGATGGAATATGCGACATGAAAGGAGGTTCAGGTGGGTGGTTGGGGGAAGGGGTTCCCTTCTGGGGGGGGAACTGCCCCCTTCTTTGGGTTGGGATTCCTCCCCCCTTCGGACGGTCTCTCGTACTTGGGGGGGGGGTTCGGGCTGGTGAAATCTGTTGGGGGAAACATACTCGGAGGATGCTCTGGGTTGGAGAAGTCACCTTTAGATGGGCCGCAGTGGAGGAGAGGAAGGGAAGGCCGCAGCAGGTCACCGGGAAGGAAGGGGAAAATGGAATGGAAGACGGCGCTGCTATGGGGCAGAGAAGGCGCTGCCGTGGGGCAGAGGTTTCCCCAGACCCCTTTTTATAGAGACTGCTGGGCCTCCGATAAAAGCGAGGTGCCTCTTGTCCTCTGGTGACCCCCCCAGCCGCCCTCCCCCCGGTGATCGCCTCTCCCTCTCTCTCCACGCAGCGAGGAGAAGCAGACGGTGCCCATGGAGCTGTCGGAGCCCCACCCGGAGAACGAGGCCCTGGAGCCCGGTGGCCCCGAGGATCAGCCCTCCGCAGACCCCCCGGGCCCCGAAGCGGGCCCTGAAGACGAGGAGAAGAAAGAGGTAGCGTGTTGGGGGGCACCCCTCGGCGTAGAGGCAGGGGGCCCGCGGGGGCATCCAGACGAGCGGCTCGGGAGGATGGGGCTGTCCTGGGGCAGGTGAAGGGCCATTCAGCACCACCCCGGGGGGATTGCAATGGGGGGGAAGAGAGGAAAGGCCCGGGGGGGGGGGGCAGAATGCTGGGTGAGATCTAAGCGCCCCAGCAAAACCTTTGCACTAGGGACTTTTGTCCCCTGGCGCGACACCCCATCTAAGTTCCCCTTGCAAGGAGATCTTGACGAAGGGGAGTGCGGGTGCACCCCAGTTCACCTTTTGTTCAGGGTGTACGGTTCTGCTTCCCGAGAATTTCCACTTGGGTGTGCTTGGGGAAAATCTATATTCCCCCCCCCTTAATTTTACATAATAAACTGCTGTAATTTTCTGTGCATGAAAATCTGTGGGGCCTGTCAGGCTGAGGAAGAGAAGAAATGAGAAATAAGCCTTCAGTGCTGTGTGTTTTTTTTCAACCTTGGTCACTTTAAGACGTGTGGACTTTTAACTCCCAGAATTCCCCAGCCAACGAGTTGGAATCCATCCATGCATGCCGGCTGGGGAATTGCGGGAGTTGAAGTCCACCCACCTTAAAAGCGTGTGGCTGAGGAACTCTGGGAGTTGAAGTCCACCCACCTTCAAGCATGCTGGCTGGAGAATTCTGGGAGTTGAAGTCCACCCCTCTTAAAGTGGCCAAAAGTTGACAAACACTGCACCCAGTGGCTAGCAGAGAGAAAAGATTTTGCCTTTTTACATTTTTCTTGGCTAGTAAATACCTGCATTAATGTTCTGATTTAGTGCCCAATTGTACCCAGAAAAGAGAAAACACAGAAGCCTGTCTTAATGGACATGGGATCCCGAATCCCAAGGGATTTGATACTTTGATTTTTGTCCATTCTGAGCCTGGTGCTTCTCACGTTCGACGCTGCCTTAAGGCAAGGCTGGTTGAGTTTTTCCAAGCAGTGAATACCCCAGCCCAGCCCCTTAACCAGGATTCCTGCTCATCTCATTTTGGCATGCTTAATTTTTTTTTTTAATTTGTGGTGGTGGTTGTTTACTAAACTAGATCCATGGCAAAGATTTGGTTGGACCTTCGGCCATTTCTGATATTTTGTCTTATTTTCCCCCACCTGTGAGCCAGTGTAAAGAATTGGCCTCTTTTATTCCCCCTGTGTTGTACAAAGAAGGGGTGGGTGGGTTGTGATAGGAGGATCCTGGGATGTCTGGGGTGGGGGTGGGGGGAGAATACATTTGTGCGCCTGCACGTACATAATTACACTCACAACTCAGATCCTGGCTTTTCCGTGCTGCTGAGGAAGAGGGGTGGGTGGGGACAGGCCTTGCTTCTCCCTTCACCCGTAAAGATAGCTTCCCCTGCACAACCAACCCCCCTTCCCCCGTTGACATTCTCCTCTGGACTCGTTTGTTCTGATCCCCGTTTTAAAGAGGCATCCAATCTTCTGGGAGTGCGAAAGAGAGAGTGAGAGAGAGAGAGAGAACCGGAGAGAGAGAGCGTGAACACATATGAGCAGGCCGCACCCAGGTGTCCATGGAGGTGGACGAGGGGGGAAAAAAAAAGAGATTTTGGAGACGGTCTTCGGGGCCACCCAGAGTAGGCCCTTCCTGGAACTGTCTTCTCCGTTCGATGGAAAGTCCTCTACTTCCGTAGCCTCAGAGAGACGCGTACCCTTCGGAGCGCCGCCTGCTCCGGGGGGGGGTGTCTTCCTCCGTGGGTCCGAAAGCTCGATGGCCCACCTCAACTTGTGCTCTGCTGGTTCCTAGTTAATCTCCACCATCCTTGAAAGCTGCGACTGCTGTTGTTGGGAAGTTACCCGGTCAAAACTCTGCCGGTCTTCCGAACGAGGCGTCAAAAGGATGTCACGACACGTCGACCTGTCCCGTAACCTCCCTGGGAGTTGGACGCTCCATCTCCTTCCAGGTTTCCGTTGGCGCGAGTCGTTCGAGACGAATTCTGGTGATCTTTTCCGCCTGAGAAGAGCAGGAACGCTCCCTCGTCGCCGCTACGATCGCGTCGCTGCAACGATCCCGTCTGCTTTCCTGACTTGGGACGTGTTCGGCGACTTTTCCATCCGCCAAAGGGGGGAGGGAGTCCTCGGTTGCTGATCTCCCAATCCTAGGAACCGGATCGACGCCCAGGTCAACGCCGTCTGCCGATGCCGAGCCTGGAGCTCCAGAATTTGGGAGGGGAGCGCTCCTCTGAGGATACGCAGAGGTCTTCCACCCTGCCTCTCAAATCGCCTGCGTATTGTCTCTCGCGCAAGCCCTGCTTTGCTCCGCCAATGCCCGAAGGACCTTTTTTTTTTGTGGCCTTTCCGCTCGGCGCCGAGGGTCGCCCGAAAGGACATGGGGCGGGTAGCCTTCCACGGACCCGGGAAGCTCTTCCCCGTCGACAACCCCCGTGCGGCGTGGTGTCTCTTCCACCAAAAAAAAAAAAAAGGACTTCCGTTGCAATGTAACCTGTTTTCGCCCGTCGTCGGGGTGTCCGCCCCGTTGTGATTGTTGGTTTTCCACCACAAGAGTCCCTGCCGCAAACGAGACAGTGCCACACGCACACACCGCTGTCCCAACCGACGGTCCGTCTCTGCCTGCCGAGAACTGATGCCTTGACCCTCGTGCCCCCCCCCATTTCCGTCCTTTTGGGGGGGGACGTCTTCTGTCTCGCCCTCTCTCTTCCGGGACACTTGACTCCGACCACCAACCCATCAAGCGCTAGGTTCCTACCTACCTACCAGCCAGCCAACCAATCAGCACCTCTCTTGTTCACCCAGTCCAACCAAGCCACGCACCTTTCAGGCCAGGGAGGGCTCGTTCCGATTGGACCAGCCGTTGCCTAGATACAGCGCACACACTGAGGTGTGATTGGCTGAACAGAAGACCCTGCCCCAGGTGTGAGAGGGTACCTGGAGCGCTTGTCCTAATTTGTTTTTTTTTTTAAAAAAAAAAAAAAATAATAATGGTTTTTTTTTTGCTTGTTTTCTTTTATGTTCTTAATTTAAATGGAAAAGAGAGAGAGAGAAAGAGAAAGAGAGGATTGGAAGTGCTGGGGGCGGCGGGGGGGTGGGTCCCGTTAACGGTTTAAAATGGAGGGGTCCCCCTTAGCTTTTCTTAAACGGGGGGGGGTCTTTGGGAATTAGTTTAGGAGGTGTGACAGCCTGGTTTGGTTTTCCCCCCCCCACATCCAAAATCCTTGCTGAAACTGACCCCCGTGTTGACATTGGGATGGCACCTGGTTTCCACCAACAGCCCCTTATCATTTCCAGGGGGAACCTGCTGTTCGGCCATAAAGTGGAGAATAATGGAGCTGGAAGGGACCTTGGAGGTCATCCAGTCCGACCCCCCCTGCTCGGGGGAAGAGTGAGGCTGTCCTAAATAAAGAGGGTGGGTGGGTCCAAAAGGGGGGAAGATCCACAAAGACAGGAACAAACAAACATACATTTTGCAGAAATGCATGTGTCTAGACTTCGACGGATGCTGTCTAGAGATGGGAAGGCCTGTGGGGGAAAAAAATCAGGAAAATTGGGGGTGAGGGTGACCAGATTTTTTTTCCCCAAAGCCGTATGGGGAAAAAAAACTTATTTTTTCCCCCCTATTTTTCCGGGGTTTTTTTTCCCCCCAGGCCTTCCCATCTCTAGCCGTGGACCCCACGTTGGTGCGCACGACCACGGGATCACAGGAGACACAAAGCCATGAAAATCCTCTTGAACAGTGTTTCCCAAACTTGACCATTTTAAGGCATGTGGACTTCAACTCCCAGAATTCCACAGCCAGCAATGCTGGCTGTGGAATTCTGGGAGTTGAAGTCCACATGCCTTAAAATGGTCAAGTTTGGGAAACACTGCTCTTGAACAATGATACTGATGTGAGAGTTTAGCCTGGGTGGGCTGCTCTCTGAGCTCGCAGACGTTTCATGACAAATTAGGTAACGCGATCAGTGCAGGCAGCCCTCGACTGAACAACAGGTTATTTAATGACCCTTAATTGTGGCTGTAAGTCAAGGACTGCCTGTACTGCCAAGAGATAGCAACCAACCTTGGAGTGTACCAAGGACCCTACATGTCAACCCTGAGCTCCAAAGATTCTCCTTGGTTAGAATTTAGCCTGTTTTGCAAAATGCTACCGAAAAGAAAATGGAAAATAAACGACAACACCAACTATGCCAGTTTCCTCTTGGGAAAGCAAAGCCAGGCAGGAGTGGGAATAACTTAGCCGGAGAGAAAAGGAATTTTCCAGATCGCTTTCCCGTGAGATCACCTGGATTGGTGCAAATGCAGGCTTGGGAGAGGAACAGTTCCTCGAGGGTGGGAAAAAACCAGGAATGGTGCAAGCCATCCAGAATCACAAGCGCTGGAAGGGACCTTGGAGGTCTTCTAGTCCAACCCCCTGCTCAGGCAGGCGACCCTAGACCAGGGGTCTTCAAACTTGGCCCTTTTATGACTCGTGGACTTCAACTCCCAGAATTCCTGAGCCAGCCATGCTGAGGGGAAAGGGAGAGTTTTCCAAGCTGAGCCATGCTGGCTGAGGAATTCTGGGAGTTGAAGTCCACGAGTCACGAGGGGGCTATAGTTCCCCCATGCTGGCTCAGGAATTCTGGGAGTTGACGTCCACGAGTCATAAAAGAGCCAAGTTTGAAGACCCCCTGACCTAAATAAACATTGCAACTGGGTGGAAATTTCTCTCAAAATGCTGAGGGGATTGAAATGTGTTTTTTTTTTTAAACGTGTCCGTTGTGTTGAACTAACCCCCAAGGCAGGAGTAGGCAACCTTGGCTCTTTTATGACTCGTGGACTTCAACTCCCAGAATTCCTGAGCCAGCCTGGCTCAGCTTGGAAACCTCTCCCTTTCCCCTCAGCTTGGCTGGCTCAGGAATTCTGGGAGTTGAAGTCCACGAGTCATGAAGGGGCCAAGGTTGCCTACCTGTGCCCCAAGGGTTAAAGTGACTAAAATTCACAACTGCTTCTGTATTTGTACTTCCGTTCTTTATTTTTATTTTTTATTTTTATCTTTTTTTCCCCCTCTGACAATGAACTGACATCCGCTCTTAATGAACTTGGCAGGCCCGTCCATCAAAACGGCTTGTTGTCGACTTTAATTGGCTGGACACTTGGGGGCATTAAAATAATCGGAAGTCATCGTTTGATCGGTCGGTTCAAAACACATAAGCCCTATGAAAGAGGTTTAATGTTTGGTTTGGTTTTTTGTTTTTTTAAATCCAGAAAGCGGGCAAAAATATTTCAATTTAAAAAAAGAAACAAGATATACGCCGTTTAAAGAATTGCTAGCGGTGGGTTTTCCCCTATGTTTTTTTGTATTTGGCTTTCAATTCCCATCATTCCCAGTCAGCATAGGAAAGGGTAGGCTGGCTTGGAATAATGGTACTTGTAGTCCAATGCAACTGAGAGCCAAGGGTTTGAACTTCCATATTTTTCATTAAAAGGCATCCAGTCTTGTTTCCATAATACAGAAATAAAGAAACACTGAGGAGAGAAGCTGTTAAAAGCAGAACAGGGAGGAAAAGCAGGAAAAATAAACCATGGAATCCCATTTTTTTCCCCTCCAAAAAAACCCAATAATCTTTCTAGAGCAAATGTAATGAAACCAGTAGTTTGCCTGTTTAAATGTTGTTAAAATCATGAAAATCAGCTGCCCGTTTCTGAATAAAAAAAGGGATCCAAGTGGAACTGGTAATTGTTCCTTAATTTGGTGCCACAGCTAGAAAAGCCGTGCGTGTTTTTCTCATTGGTCTGCTCACCTAGCCAAGATGTGGACTTTAAATCAGATAGATGAAAGCGGATCGTATTTCCTCAATAACATTTCCTATCCCTGGAATAGTTTTAGCTCCGGAAACATTTGTCCCCGTAAAAGAAAATATTTGTAGCTCCGGGTTGAACTGTGAGGTCCCAAACCTTATTCCTTTTGTAGCACTGATGCTATTGCCTAGGTTGGTAATGAAACGTCTGCAAGGAAATAACCCAGCTCAGAGGACCGCCCCCCCCCACAGTCCTATTTTTTCAATTTCTCGCACTCATGAGGACTAGAAACCCTTTGAGAACATTTCTCTATTTGCCCAGTCCCCTTTTCAATTTCTCGTACTCTTTGAGGAGTAGGAACCCTTTGAGAACATTTCTCTGTTTGGCCTCTCCCGAAAGGCCAAATAGAGAACGTTCTCAAAGGGTTTCTAGTCCTCATGAGGACCGTTTCTGGTGATTCCGCTCCTAGTTGTGGACAGGAGCTGTGCGCAAATAAACTAATAACTAATAATTTTGCGCCAAGTTAGGGGAGGCAGGATTCTACCCTCTCCACTTCATTGCTGAGGCAGCAGGGGACCTCTTTGCCCGTCCCCACGCCTTCATTTGGGCCCCTCCATTATTTAGGCCCTCTCTTCCCCCACCCACCCCCTTGATGTCCCCTAGATGCAACGGCCATTTTCCAAATCCCCGATACTGACTTGACTCCCCCCTCTACACGGGGTTTTCTTTCTTTGTCTGTCTTTCTCCCACTTCTCCCTCTCTTTCTCCTCCTCCTCCTCCTCTCTCTCTCTCTCTCTCTCTCTCTCTCTCTGCCCTTCCTTTCTTCCTTCCCTTTCTCCACAGGGTTCGGCTCAGCCCAAGGCCTTCAAGAGGAAAATCTCCGTCGTCTGTAAGTAAAGGGGGGGGGCAGGTTCTCCACCCATTGAGCTCAACTGTCTCCTGACCACTTGATGGGACATCTGAGGAGGTTGGGAGGTCCTCTGGGGTCTCACCTCCTGGGCCTTTTTAAGGCCAGGGCCTCCAATTGGCCCCTTTAAGACTTGTGGACTTCAACTCCCAGAATTCCTCAGCCAGCAATGCTGCCTGAGGAATTCTGGGAGTGGAGGTCCACACAGTCGCCAAGGTTGGAGACCCCTGCTTGAAGGGCTGGTTGAGGAATTGTGGGGATTGAAGTCCATACGTCTTAAAAAGTCGCCAAGATTGGAGACTGGCTGAGGAATTCTGGGAGTTGAAGTTCTATAAGTCTTAAACTGGCCAAGGTTGGAGATGGGCTGAGGAATTCTGGGAGTTGAAGTCCATAAGTCTTAAACTGGCCAAGGTTGGAGACAGGCTGAGGTATTCTGGGAGTTGAGGTCCACAAGTCTTAAACTGGCCAAGGTTGGAGACTGGCTGAGGAATTCTGGGAGTTGAAGTCCACAAGTCTTAAAATAGCCAAGGTTGGAGACTGGCTGAGGAATTCTGGGAGTTGAAGTCCACAAGTCTTAAACTGGCCAAGGTTGGAGACGGTCTGAGGAATTCTGGGAGTTGAAGTCCACACGTCTTAAAACTGGCCAAGATTGGAGGCAGGCTGAGGAATTCTGGGAGTTGAAATCCACAAATCTTAAACTGGCCAAGGTTGGAGGACTCTTGCTTTAAGGGTTGGGAGAGCAAAGGTCCTGTGCTTGGCTGCTGGGATGGAGGGCTAGTTCCCTTGCCACCCCCAAGAGACAAGGTCACTCTGGAGCAGCATGCAAAGGATTGTAGCCTTGGAAATTGTGGTGTTTAATAATTTTTACTCCCACTCTCTCAAGGCTGGCTAATCTGAAAAGCCTGAAAAGGGATTGTAGGTCTGGGAGAAGGGTGAAGGGAACATGCTTTGCTTCCATCTGGGAGAGGCAGGGGGGCTGCCCCATCTGTGCCTTGGCTGTGCTCCCCTGGAGTGGAGGCCAACGTGGTTAAAGAGACCTTACCTATAGTTACAGTTAAATACACCACAGTAAACACAGGTAGTCCTTGACGTACGGCAAACACGTCTGTGGTTAACGCGAGGACCTTTGTTAAGCGAATTTTTTCCCGTGTTAACGACATTTTGTTGCCAAGAGAATCACCTCAGTGGTTAAGTTAGTAACCCAGTTATTAAGTGAATCCTGCTGCTCCCCCCCTTCTGACAAGCAAAATCAATGGGGGGGGATCAGCAGGATTCACTTAATAACTGGCAAAAGGGGATCCCATCAACCCCAGGACACTGCAACCGTCATAAGTCTGCTGAGGATCTGAATTTTGATCCAGTGATCGTCGGGATGCTGCAGAAGTGGTAGCTGAAAAAAAGTGGTCATAAGTCCCCCCCCCCTTTTTTTTCTTTTTAGTGCTGTTGTAACTTTGAACCATCACTAAATGAACTGGTGTAAGTGTACATACATTAAATACACTGAAATGCAGGTAGTCCTCACTTAACGACCTGTCCTTTAGTGACTAGCTGAAGTTACAACTGACCCTCCCGGAAGTTAGACACACTTAAGATTAAGTTAAGATTTTTATCCCGCCTTTATTTCTTTTTAAGTAATTCAAGATGGCAAACGTACCTAATGCTCTTTCCTCTTCCTGTTTTCTCACAACAACAGCCCAGTAAGGTGGGTTGGGCTGAGAAAGGGACTAGGGCAAAATCACCTCTTGGCTTTCGTGCCTAAGGTGGGATTAGAACTCGCTGTCTCTTGGTGATTGGCCCACAGTCACCCAGCTGGCTTTCGTGCCTAAGGCGGGACTAGAACTCGCCATCTCCTGGTGATTGGCCTAAAGTCACCCAGCCAGCTTTTGTGCCTGAGGCGGGACTAGAACTCGCCATCTCCTGGTGATTGGCCCAAAGTCACCCAGCCAGCTTTTGTACCTGAGGCGGGACTAGAACTTACCATCTCCTGGTGATTGGCTCAGAGTCACCCAGCTGGCTTTCGTGCCTAAGGCGGGACTAGAACTCGCCATCTCCTGGTGATTGGCCCAAAGTCACCCAGCTGGCTTTTGTGCCTAAGGCGGGACTAGAACTCACTGTTTCCTGGTTTCAGAGTCAGCACCTTAACCGCTAGTACAAACCAGCTCTTGTGAGAACTGCAAACACCTCCCTGGACAATCACAGGATTGTATTTTGGGTCCTTAGCGACCAGCTCACATTTATGCCTGTTTGCAGCATCCGACAGTCACAAGACCTGCTTTGGGCTGGTTTCCCCCTCCCCCAAATTAAAATCTCCATGGGGTATAATGGATTCGTCTAACGACCGCTGCAGGAAAAAAAAAATGGTTGTACCATCAGACACAATCACACAGGGACTTCCTTCACCACAACTTAACGATTGTAATTCTGGGCTCCATTATGGCTGTAATTCAAGGACTGCCTTTGATGGAATTGGGTGGGTATTTTTTAAAGAAAGGTGTTTGGTGCTCCTGGGGCCTGGTAAAACCCAGTTTTTATTTCTCAGTGGTAACAAGTGGTTTTACGCCCAAGTGGTTCGGCCAGTTTACTACATGCAGCATTGGAGTAACAGAAACTTAGTTCATTTAAAGCTGTGATTTTACTAACATAGGAAATGACTAGATCAGGGGTAGGCAACCTTGGCTCTTTTATGACTTGTGGACTTCAACTCCCAGAATTCCTGAGCCAGCATGAGGGAAACTTTGGCCCCTTCATGACTTGTGGACTTCAACTCCCAGAATTCCTAAGCCAGCATGGGGGAAACTTTGGCTCTTTTATGACTTGTGGACCTCAACTCCCAGAATTCCTGAGTCAGCCTGGCTCAGCTTGGAAACCTCTCCCTTTTCCCTCAGCATGGCTGGCTCAGGAATTCTGGGAGTTGAAGTCCACAAGTCATGAAAGACCCAAGGTTGCCTACTCCTGGACTAGATCAATGTTACTCAGCCTTGGCCCCTTTAAGACAGGTGGACTTCAACTCCCAGAATTCCCCAGCCAGCATGGTTGGCTGGCTGGGGAATTCTGGGAGTTGATGTTCACTCCCCTTAAAGGGGCTGAGGTTGAGAAATACCTGGCTAGATTCTTTTCTAACCCAGTACAAAAGTCCTCGACTTACAATCATTTGTTCAGTGACTGCTTGAAGTTTACAACTGCATTGAAAACCAAGTGACTTACCACCATTTTCCTGACTTCAGACCGTTTTTCGCTCAACCGTTGGAGCAACCGTGTGGTCGCCTGATCAACATTTGGACACTTGGCCACTGACTCCTATTTATGACGGTGTTGCAGTGTCCCCCGGGGTCACACGATCCCCTTCCGACAAGCAAAGCCAAAGCCAGATTCACTTAGCAACTGCAGTGATTCACTTAACGACTGTGGCAAAAAGATCGTAAAATGGGGCCAACCTCGCAACAACGGTCTCACTGAGCAACAGTAATTTGGGCCTCCCTTGTGCTCGTAAGCCGAGGACTTGCCTGCATCGGCATACCATGCGGGAGACGGAATGGAGCTTAGGGAAAGAGGGTGGAAGTGAACTGACTCGCTCACACGAGCCACCTCAAAAGGGCCAAGTGACTCAGCGGTGTCCCAGGGAAACGGCTCAGGTTTAACTCCCATAGATGCTTTTTCATGAGGCAACTGGACTGTCTTGTTTTTCTTCGAAGACGTTTCGCTTCTCATCCCAGAAGCTTCTTCAGGTTTTGACTGGATGGTTGGGAATGGAAGGATTCCATACTCCTTTGCAGTCATCTGGTCATTTGTATTCTTTTAGAGCAGAGCTTTTCAACCAGTGGTACGGGTACCACCTGTGGTCCATTGGCACCTGGCAGGTGGTACGCGACCATCCTAGAAAAGTGGTAGCGGGGGAGGGGAATGAGCTGAATTGGGGGCAGCACCGCACAAGCCTGAGCGAGAGACGGCTGGAGCTGCAGGGCTGTCAGGGCTCAGCGGAAGCGCCAGGATCAGTGCTAGGATCCAGCTGGAGCTCGGCGCTGATCCTGGCGCTTCTGCTGAGCCCTGAAGAAGCACCAATCAGCTGGAATATTGCAGCATCTCCAGGGTCTTGTGATTTACATTCAGATGCTTGGCAACTGATTCCTATTTATGACGGTCACAGTGTCCCAGGGTCATGGGAAGTGACCAAAACCTGCTGCAACCACCTAGCAGACGAGGGGGGATAAAAACCAAACACCCCCCCCCACCCCACCTCCACTGCCAATCCCCAACAGAAATGCTCACAACAATGAAAACCTTGGACAGGAGGAAGAGCGTCACCGGGCGGGCAGGCAAGTGTCTTGCTCGGCTGTGGTTTGGTGGGCACTTTTTCAGTGCCATTGTAACTTCGAACAGTCACTAAGCGAACTGTTGTAAGTCAAGGACTACTTGTACTTCATCTTTTTTTTTTTTTTTGTCATCGAGTTTTTGACACCTTGCTAGGCGACTGGTGGTACTCAGATGTTGCCATATCCTAAAAGTGGTACAGTGGGTGAAAAGGTTGAAAAGCCCTGTTTTAGAGAGTCATTGAGGCCACTTGGAGGTTTATCTGTGTCCTCAGGGTCACCTGAGCAGGCGTGGAGCCTTCTTGGGACTGTGTTGTAGGCTGGAGATAGTAATAGTAGTAAAGTTGGAAGGGACCTTGGAGGTCATCTAGACCAACCCCCTGCTCAGGCAGGAAACCCTACACCATTTTGGACAAATGGCTGTCCAGTCTCTTCTTAAAAACTTCCAGTGTTGGAGCATTTACTGCTTCTGGAGGCAGATTGTTCCACTGGTTAATTGTTCTCACTGTCAGGAAGTTTCTCCTTAGTTCTAGATTGCGTCTCTCCTTGATTAGTTTCCACCCGTTGCTTCTTGTCCTGCCTTCAGGTGCTTTGGAGAATAGCTTGACTCCCTCTTCTTTGTGGCAGCCCCTGAGATATGGGAATACTGCTATACCTCCAAGTGGCCTCAGCGATTCTCTAAAACAGGGCTTTTCAACCTTTTCACCCACGGTACCACTTTTAGGATACGGCAACGTCCAAGTACCACCAGTCGCCTAGCAAGGTGTCAAAAACTTGTTGATAGATGGTGTCGTATCCCTCCTCTGTTGAGGGAGGGCTGTTCAGTTTTGACACAGATGGCCTCTTGGACCCGTCTTTTCAGGCTTAACGCCTTCCCTCCCTCGCAGCCTCCTCCGTGGCCAAGGGGGCCGTCGCCACGAACAGCGACACTGAAGGAAGCCAGCCGGCGGGCCGCAAACGGCGCTGGGGAGCCAGCACGGCCACGACCCAGAAGAAACCCTCCATCAGCATCACCACAGAGTCCCTCAAGGTAACCAGGACGGGGAGAAAAGTCGATTCAGGGGCAGCCAGGATCAGACCCTGATGTCTTGTTTTTCCTCCTCCTCCTGCTCCCCCTCCAGAGCCTGATCCCGGAGATTAAGCCGCCGCCTGGAGGCCAGGAAGCCGTGGTGGAGCTTCATGCCGACGACTCCCGCATCTCCGAAGACGAAGCCGAGCGCCACTTGGAAGAGCCGGCGCACGAGAAAGCCCTCAAGATATGCCGCACGGTCACCCAGGTTGGTGGTGGGTGGGGGCTCCTGATCGGTTCCCTGGGCGTGGGGGGGTGGCCTTTCCTATAAAACAGTGGTTCTCAACCTGTGGGTCGGGACCCCATTTGGGGTCGAACGACCATTTCACGGGGGTCGCCAAACAACGCAGTCTGCCATTTCCCCCCCCCCCCTTTTCCTTAGCTGTGCTCCTCCCTCTTATTCTATTGGCTTTTGAAAGCCAATAGAATAGGCTCTCTTGAATAGTGTCTAATTTGATTGGCTTTCCAAAGCCAACAGGAATTGTCCAGGCTGTCTCTGCCCTGCTGAGCCCGCCAAAAGTCCCATTCTGCAAACGGTGCTGCACCAGTTGAGTAGTCCTCGACTTACGACCGGTTGGGGGGGGTCGTGGCATTAAAAAGGTTGAGAACTACTGCTATAAAAGGAAGTAGCACTCCAGCGAGCGCTTGATGGCCGATCTGTTCAGCTCCGATGTTTCCGTGCTCTCTCGTCTCCCATAGATTTCCAGGGTGGTGAACAGCCCAATCTCCCGTAAAAGAAACCATTTAGTAGCGTAACGCTAACCCCCCCCCCCCCCAAAAAAGGACAGATGCTAATTGCAGGCCGAGGCAAACGCTCAGATTTAAACTAAAAATAACCTCAAGAATCTAATGTAGCTGTCAGGCCCTCCTTTTTAACACAACCGTCCCACCGGTCAAAATTATTCTGGCCAAACACGTTTGCCGGCAGGCTTAAGCCAAAGTTGTCTGGCCAGAGACAAAAGGGAGAGGGGAGGCACTGTCACCTCTGTCTCTTGTGTAGGCCAGTGTTTCTCAACCTTGACAATTTTAAGGCATGTGGACTTCAACTCCCAGAATTCCACAGCCAGCATTGCTGGCTGTGGAATTCTGGGAGTTGAAGTCCACATGCCTTAAAATTGTCAAGGTTGAGAAACACTGGTGTAGGCAGACCGAATTCAGCTTGCCAGGACCCCTGATGCTGTTACCTAGGTTGGTAGTGAAACGTCTGTAAACCAAGCTTAGAGAACCTCAAGAACTCCACAGAATGTAGGATTAATTCTATGGCTTTGCCATTGAATTAACTGAAAAATCTATATAAAGAAGAGGGAGTCAAACTCTTCTCCAAAGCGCCCGAAGGCAGAGAAGAAGCAACGGATGGAAACTCATCAAGGAGAAAAGCAGAAGCCTGGAACTAAGGAGAAACTTCCTGACAGTTAGAACAATTAGCCAGGGGAACCACTTGCCTCCAGAAGTTGTGGGTGCTCCATCACTGAAGCTTTTGAAGAAGAGACTGGACAGCCATTTTGTCTGAAATGTTAAGAGGGTTTCCTGCCTGAGCAGGGGGTTGGACTAGAACACCTCCAAGGTCCCTTCCAACTCTGCTATTCTGTTAAATGGCCATTGGAGAAAGTATACTTGTTCTCAAAGTGGAAAATATATAATATAGAGAGGAAGCTATTATTGTTGGAATAGATTCATCAGTGTTCATCTAGGCCAGCGGTAGGCCACCTCGGCTCTTTTATGACTCGTGGACTCCAACTCCCAGAATTCCTGAGCCAGCCACGCTGAGGGGAAAGGGAGAGGTTTCCAAGCAGAGCCATGCTGGCTCAGGAATTCTGGGAGTTGAAGTCCACGAGTCATGAAGGGGCCAAAGTTTCCCTCATGCTGGCTCAGGAATTCTGGGAGTTGAAGTCCACGAGTCATGAAGGGCCAAAGTTTCCCTCATGCTGGCTCAGGAATTCTGGGAGTTGAAGTTCACGAGTCATGAAGGGGCCAAAGTTTCCCTCATGCTGGCTCAGGAATTCTGGGAGTTGAAGTCCACGAGTCATGAAGGGGCCAAAGTTTCCCTCATGCTGGCTCAGGAATTCTGGGAGTTGAACTCAACGAGTCATGAAGGGGCCAAAGTTTCCCTCATGCTGGCTCCAGAATTCTGGGAGTTGAAGTCCACGAGTCATGAAGGGGCCAAAGTTTCCCTCATGCTGGCTCAGGAATTCTGGGAGTTGAAGTCCACTGTTGAGACCAAAGTTTCCCTCATGCTGGCTCAGGCAGAGGAATAAGGAACTGATTAGAGCTAGGCTAGGGCTAGGCAACCTTGGCTCTTTTATGACTGGTGGACTTCAACTCCCAGAATTCCTGAGCCAGCCAAGCTGAGGGGAAAGGGAGAGGTTTCCAAGCTGAGCCATGCTGGCTCAGGAATTCTGGGAGTTGAAGTCCACGAGTCATAAAAGGGCCCAGATTGCCTACCCCTGGTATACATGTTTCGGTCTTTTATCTTTTTAATTCACTTTTTTTAAAAAATGTTCTTGTCTAGTTTTCTTTTGACCCTTAATTTTTTTTCTATTTTAATCTTCTGAATAAACTAAAAAATTCAGATTTTTTTAAAAAAAAAACGAGCTTAGAAAGATTTCTATTTCTCGTGCTCATGAGTACTAGAAACCCGTTAGAACATTCTCTAATTTAAACATTCGCTCGTTCTCTGATACCCCTGACTCAAAGGGAAAGAATGGAAGACCCTCCCTTGTCTCGTCCGCAACACGAAGGGCTTTGGATGGAAAAAAGCTGGCAGGAAGGGTGGGGGTCCCCCCAAAACCGGGTTTAGACCAGGATCGCTCGTATAAAAAAGGGTCTTTTTCTCAAGCTCACCCTGCCCCCTTTCCCTCACAGGTGGTCCCTGTCGAAGGGCAAGAGAAGGGCCAAGGGGAGGAGGAGGAGGAGGAGGAAGAGGAGGAGGAGGAAGAGGAGAAGGTCCACGAGGAAGAACAGCCGGAGGTGGCGCCTGTTGTCGCTGTAGAGACGGTGGTCCTGCCTCTACCGGTAGAGCACGAAGTCAAAAAAGGTAACGGGGGTGAGATGATTGGCAGAAGAGGGGAAGCGATTGACCATACAGGTAGGGTCACCTGTGAGTTTCTGCCTTCCTTCGTCCCGCAGTCACGCTGAGCGACACTCTCACCCGGCGGTCCATCAGCCAGCAGCGCTCCGGGGTCTCCATCACCATCGACGACCCTGTCCGCACGGCCCAGGTCCCCTCTCCTCCCCGCGGCAAGGTCAGCTGCATCGTTCACATCTGCAACCTGGTGAGTTGTTTTCCCAGGGCGGCGGGCAGCTCCCGGCGGGCAGCCCAAAAAGTCAGGGCTGAAATTCTTTTTAATTTCGCAACTTAAGAGACAAGAGTTAACCGTAGTTTCAATTGGGGGGGGGGGTGGAATGCGATCATTCTAGACTGGGCCCAATCCAATTCCCCTACCAGGAAATTTCTGGCAACTCTCGACCAATCAAGCCATCAATAAACACACAGATACTAATAAACCTCTACAGATTGGGCAAAGGCGACAATCAGCCAGCCCCAAAGAGAAAAGGACTCCAGCCCTTCTCCAGCGTTAATCAGCCCTCAGATCAGCCTAGCCCAGTGGTTCTCAACCTGTGGGTCGGGACCCCATTTGGGGTCGAACGACCATTTCACGGGGGTCGCCAAACAACGCAGTCCGCCATTTTTTCCCCCTTTTCCTTAGCTGTGCTACTCCCTTTGATTCTACTGGTTTTTGAAAGCCAATAGAATAGACTCTCTTGCATAGAGTCTAATTCTATTGGCTTTCAAAAGCCAATAGGAATTGTCCAGGCTGTCTCTGCCCTGCTGAGCCCGCCAAAAGTCCCCTTCTGCAAACGGTGCTGCACCAGTTGAGTAGTCCTGGACTTATGACCGATTGAGTAGCCCTCGACTTATGGCCGATTGGGGGTCGCGGCATTAAAAAGGTTGAGAACCACTGGCCTAGATTAACTCCGAGGTCAATTTCAGACCGACAGTCGAGTCAGCAACACCGCAGTGAAGAAACTGCGAAAGCCATAAGTAAACAGCCCAATTGAAGAATCCCTAAGACCAGCCCCCACCCACCCACCCAACCAGATAGACAAGACAACACTGGAATATACAACGACAACAAACAGCACTCCTTACTAGCACGGATGACGTTACCTAGTTAGGTCATGAAATGTCTGCAAGAAAACAAGCAAACTCGGAGAGCACCAGGGACCCCATAGTCTTCCTCTTCCTCTCTCCTCCCCCCCCTTCTAACACTGATGATGTTACCTAGTGGGGTCGTGAAACGTCTGCAAGAAAACAAGCTCAGAGAGCACCAAGGACCCCACAGTCATCGTCCTCCTCCTCCTCTCCCACACTCCCTTCTAGCACTGATGATGTTCCCTAGTTGGGTCGTGAAACGTCTGCAAGAAAACAAGCAAGCTCAGAGAGCACCTAGGACCCCACAGTCCTCCTCCCACACCTTCCCATCTCCTCCTCCTCCTCCTCTCCCTCTTGCTTCACTCCACAACCCCCACTCCCCTTCTAGCACTGATGATATTCTCTAGTTGGGTCATGAAACGTCTGCAAAAAATACAACCAAGCTCAGAGAGCACCAAGGACCTCATAGTCCTCCTTCTCTTCCTCCTCCTCCTCCTCCTCCTCCTCCTCCTCCTCCTCCTCCTCCTCCTCCTCCTCCTCCCCCTCCCTGCAAACCCCACTCCCCTTCTAGCACTGATGATATTCTCTAGTTGGGTCATGAGACGTCTGCAAAAAATACAACCAAGCTCAGAGAGCACCAAGGACCCCACAGATCATCACCACCTCCTCCTCCTCCTTTCCTGCTGCTCCTCCCCTTCCCGCCATCCCCTCCTTCTCCCCTCCTCTCTTCATACCTCACTCCCTTCTAGCACTGATGACGTTGCCGAATTGGGTCATGAAACGTCTGCAAGGAAACACACAAACTCCGAGAGCACAAGGGACCCCCTCATTTTGGGAAGAGTAATTTTTTTTGGGGGGGGGCCTTTGGGAGCCTTTCTTAATCCCCGGATGTTTGTCCCCGTGGGTAGGTGAGGCCCTTCACCCTGGGTCAGCTGAAGGAGCTTCTCGGCCGGACGGGCACCCTGGTTGAGGAGGCTTTTTGGATCGACAAGATCAAGTCGCACTGCTACGTCACCGTGAGTCTTGGGGGGGGGGGTGTTCTCTTCCTCCTCCTCCTGAAATTCTCCTTTCCAGACGAATCCGCCTCTCGTCTGGAAAGCTCTGCTCAGAACCAGACCGGTGCCGGTTTTTTAAGGTTAAAGCCAAGATGGCGAGGATTCCCCCAAGTTGGCTGGGCTCGTTCGTTAACGCCGCTGGATGCAAAATGCTTGTCCTGGTTTAAAGGGAATTTAGGGAGGATTTTTAAAGCAAGCTTTCCTTTGTGGGGGGGGGAGGGAATTGAAGCGGAGTGTCCACGGGGATTCCCAGCCCTCCCGAGTCGCGGTTGTCCCAAAGGTGCTTTTTCAAAAAGCAACTGGGCTTTTGGGGGGGGGGTTGTCCCCTTGAAAAAACGTTTCGCTTCTCCTCCAAGTCGCTTTTTTCAGTTCAGTTTAAGAGGAACACTTCAGGATTTGGGGAGCGGGGGGGGGGGAATGGCTGGAGACATATCTCTCTCTCTCTCTCTCCCCCTCTCTCTCTCTCCTCTCTCTCTCCCTCTTCCTCCACTTTCTGTCTTCTCTCTCCCTCTCTTTCCCTCTCTCTCCTCTCTCTATCCCGCCCTCTCCCTCTTTCTGTCTTCCTCCTCCCTCTCTCCCCTTCCCCCTCTCTCTCCCTCTTCCTCCCTCCCTCCCTGCCTCTCCCTTTCCCCTTCTCCCTCTCTTTCTCCCCCTCTCTCTCCCTCCTCTCTCTCTCTCCTCTCCCTCCTCTCTCTCTCTCCTTCTCTCTCTCCCTCTTCCTCCACTTTCTGTCTTCTCTCTCCCTCTCTTTCCCTCTCTCCTCTCTCTATCCCCCCCTCTTCCTCTTTCTGTCTTCCTCCTCCCTCTCTCCCTCTCTCCCCTTCCCCCTCTCTCTCCCTCTTCTTCCCTCCCTCCCTCCCTGCCTCTCCCTTTCCCCCTCTCCCTCCCTTTCTCCCCCCCTCTCTCTCTCCTCTCCCTCCTCTCTCTCTCTCTTCCTCCTCTCCCCTCTCCTCTTCCCCCCTCTCTCTCCCTCCCTGCCTCTCCCTTTCCCCCCCTCTCTCCCTCTTCCTCTCCTTCCCCCGCGCTCTTCCTCTCTCTCCCTCCCTCTCCCTTTTCCCCCCCTCTCCCTTCTCCCTCCCCCTCTCTCCCTCCTCTCTCCCTCTTTCCCTCTCCCTCCCTTCCCCCTCTCTCTATCCCTCTCCCTCCCTGCCTGCCTCTCCCTTCCCCCCTCTCTCCCTCTTCCTCTCCTTCCCCCGCTCTCTTCCTCTCCCTCCCTCCCTCTCCCTTTTCCCCCCCTCTCCCTTCTCCCTCCCCCCTCTCTCTCCCTACCTCTCTCCCTCTTTCCCTCTCTCTCCCTCCCTTCCCCCTCTCTATCCCTCTCCCTCCCTGCCTGCCTCTCCCTTCCCCCCTCTCTCCCTCTTCCTCTCCTTCCCCCTGCTCTCTTCCTCTCCCTCCCTCCCTCTCCCTTTTCCCCCCTCTCCCTTCTCCCTCCCCCCTCTCTCTCCCTACCTCTCTCCCTCTTTCCCTCTCTCTCCCTCCCTTCCCCCTCTCTCTATCCCTCTCCCTCCCTGCCTGCCTCTCCCTTTCCCCTTCTCCCTCCCTCCCTTTCTCCCCCTCTCTCTCTCCCTCCTCTCCCTCCTCTCTCTCTCTCTTCCTCCCCTCCCTCTTCATCTTCCCTGCCTCTCCCTTCCCCCCGTCTCTCCCTCCCTCCCTGCCTCTCCCTTTCCCCCCCTCTCCCTCTTCCTCTCCTTCCCCCTCTCTCTTCCTCTTTCTCTCCCTCCCTCTCCCTTTTCCCCCTCTCTCTCCCTACCTCTTTCCCTCCCTTCCTCTCTCTCTCTATCCCTCTTCTTCTTCTTCTTCTTCTTCTCTCTCTCTCTCTCTCTCCCTCTCCCTTCCTCCCTCCCCTGCTCTCTTTCTCTCTTCCTCCAATATTTCCTTTCAGTATTCAACAGTGGAAGAAGCTGTCGCGACGCGGAACGCCCTCCACGGGGTCAAGTGGCCACAGTCTAACCCCAAGTTTTTATCGGCAGATTTCGTGGAGCAGGATGAGGTACGGACCCCGACGGGGAGGGAAGGCGTGGGACAGGCGGGGAGGGATCCAACATTAGGAGGGGGGGGTCTCTGCCCCCGTGCCCTGGAGCTCGGTGCAAGAAAGCGAAACAGGAAAACGTGCTCTGAAAATGGTGGGCTGGCAGAAGGCACGTCTCTCTCTGGCTGTTAGCGATGCAGGTAGTCCTCAACATACGGCAGCTTACTTGACGACTGTTTGAAGTTACAACGGCACTGAAGAAAAGCGATGGATGACCACTTTTCACAATTTACGGCCATTGCGGCATCCCCACAGTCACGTGGTTTACATTCGGACGCTTGACAACTTTTATGACCGGTAGCGTCCCGAGGGGAGTCACGTGATCCCCTTTTGCGGCCTTCCCACAAGTCTACAGGGGAAGCCAGATTCACAATGACCGTGTGACGAGCTGAACAACCGCAGCGATTCATTTCAGCCCCTGTGGCAAGAAAAGTTGTAAATTGCGGCAAAGCTCACTTTTAACAAATGTCTCGCTTTGCGACATAAAATGTTGGGCTCCATTGTGGTTGTAAGTCGAGGACTGACCGGTAATGGCCAAAAGAGAACTGGAGCAGTTGCTCTGCTCCACTTTGTCAGCTTCCGCTCCACTTTGTCCCTCTGTCAGAGGAGGAAGAAAGTAGAAGCAGTCCTCAACTTACGGCCGTCCCCTTAGCGACCATTCAAACCTAATGTTGAAAACAAGGACTCGCAACCCGTCTTCGCAGTCACAACTGTGGCGGCAGGGTCATGTGATAAAAACAAAATCCAAGCCAGGCGCCGGCATAAATTTACAACTGTTGCAGTCATTTGTGTCCTCTTTGGGCTCCCGACAAAGTGGATTCGCTGAACAGCCATGTGCTTTGCTTAACAACCTCAACAAAAGAAGTTGTAAGATAGGACATGACGCACACAACAATCCCCTAGCAGTGGAAATTCCAGACCCAATTACGATCACAAGCCGAGGACCACCTGTCAAATTGATGCCCTAGGACAGGGCTTTTCAACCAGTGGTACGGGTACCACTGGTGGTACATTGGCACCTGTCAGGTGATACGCGACCATCCTAGAAAAGTGATAGCAGGGGAGGGGAATGAGCTGAATCGGTGGCAGCACCACACAAGCCTGAGCGAGAGACGGCTGGAGCTGCAAGGCTGTCAGGGCTTAGCGGAAGCCCCAGGATCAGTGCCGCTTTCCAGCTGATTGGCGCTTCGGGGCTTTCACTGGAAGCGCCAGGATCAGTGCCAGGCTCCAGCTGGAGCTCTGCTGAGCCCTGAAGAAGCACCAATCAGTTGGAAAGCAGCACTGATCCTGGTGCTTCTGCTGAGCCCAGAAGAAGCGCCGATCAGCTGGAATGTTGCAGCCTCTCCAGGGTCTTGTGATTTACCTTCAGAGGCTTGGCAACTGATTCATATTTATGACGGTCACAGTGTCCCAGGGTCATGGGAAGGGACCAAAACCTGCTGCAACCACCCAGCAGACGGGGGGGGGGAGAATAAAAACCAAATACCCCCCACCCCACCCATGCTGCCAATCTCCAACAGAAATGCTCACAACAATGAAAACCTCGGACAGGAGGAAGAGCGCCTCCGGGTGGGCAGGAAGGTGTCTTGCTCGGCTGTGGCTTGCGGGGACTTTTTTCAGTGCCGTTTTAACTACGAACAGTCACCAAGCGAACTGTTGTAAGTCGAGCACTACCTGTACGTTATCACTTTTTTCCTTTTTTTTTTGTTTTGGTTTTTTTGGAGCTTCAGGGCTGTCAGGGCTCAGTGGAAGCATCAGGATCAGCGCCAGGCTCCACCTGGAGCTCGGCGCTGATCGTGGCGCTTCTGCTGAGCCCTGAAGAAGCACCGATCAGCTGGAAAGCAGCACTGATCCTGGTGCTTCTGCTGAGCCCAGAAGAAGCACCGATCAGCTGGAATGTTGCAGCCTCTCCAGGGTCTTGTGATTTACCTTCAGAGGCTTGGCAACTGATTCATATTTATGACAGTCACAGTGTCCCAGGGTCATGGGAAGGGACCAAAACCTGCTGTAACCACCCAGCAGACGAGGGGGGGGAATAAAAACCAAACACCCCCCAGCCCCGCTGCCAATCCTCAGCAGAAATGCTCACAACAATGAAAACCTCGGACAGGAGGAAGAGCGCGGGCAGGCGGGCAGGCAGGTGTCTTGCTCGGCTGTGGCTTGGGGGGACTTTTTTCAGTGCCGTTGTAACTTCGAACAGTCACCAAGCGAACTGTTGTAAGTCGAGGACTAACTGTACTTTATCACTTTTTTCCTTTTTTTTTTTTTTGTCACATTTTTGACACCTTGCTAGGCGACTGGTGGTACTCGGATATTGCCATATCCTAAAAGTGGTACAATGGGTGAAAAGGTTGAAAAGCCCTGCCCTAGGAAGATGCCTCTTAGCTTTCCTGCGAGCGTCTGTTGATTTTGTACCTCGGAGATTTTGTGCCTTCAACCTGCTTCACCCGAGCCCTTCCTGTCTCTTCCTCAGCTGGACTTCCACCGGGGTCTTCTGACCGACCGTCCCGCAGAGGCCAAGGCAGACGAAGTGCCCACCTTCCCCGGGGCGGGCCCGACCACCCGGGGGGAACGGGAGCTGTCCCGGCGCTCGGAGGCGCGGGAGCGGGAGGCGGCCGTGCGGGAGCAGTGGGCCGAGCGGGAGCGAGAGATGGAACGCCGGGAGAGGACCCTGGCGGAGCGGGAGTGGGACCGGGACAAGGTGCGTGAGGGCCCGCGCTCTCGCTCCCGGTCCCGAGAGAGACGCCGCAAGGAGCGGCCCAAATCAAAGGAGAAGAAAGCCGAGAAGAAAGGTAACAGGCGAGAGAGTTTGGCCGAGTGCGTAAGGGAGACATAGAAACCGGGAGACCCTGAGTTCTAGTCCTGCCTTAGCCGTGAAAGCCGGCTGGGTGACTTTGGTCCAATCACCAGGAGACGGTGAGTTCTAGTCCCGCCTTAGCCGTGAAAGCCGGCTGGGTGACTTTGGTCCAATCACCAGGAGACGGTGAGTTCTAGTCCCGCCTTAGCCGTGAAAGCCGGCTGGGTGACTTTGGTCCAATCACCAGGAGACGGTGAGTTCTAGTCCCGCCTTAGCAGTGAAAGCTGGCTGGGTGACTTTGGGCCAATCACCAGGAGACTGTGAGTTCTAGTCCCGCCTTAGGCATGAAAGCCAGCTGGCTGACTTTGGGCAAGTCCAGGTGGAGGCCACCTTGGCTCTTTTATGACTCGTGGACTTCAACTCCCAGAATTCCTGAGCCAGCCATGCTGAGGGGAAAGGGAGAGGTTTCCAAGCTGAGCCAGGCTGGCTCAGGAATTCTGGGAGTTGAAGTCCACGAGTCCTAAAAGAGCCAAGGTGGCCTAGCCCTACGCCTAGGCCATTCCAGACAAGTGGCTGTATAGTCTCTTCTTAAAAACCTCCAGTGATGGAGCACCTACTACTTCTGGTGGCAAGCTGTTCCACTGGTTAATTGTCCTCACTGTTAGGAAATTCCTCCTTAATTCCAGGTTGCTTCTCTCCTTGATTAGTTTCCACCCATTGCTTCTAATAATAATAATAAAGTTGGAAGGGACCTTGGAGGGGGTAGGCAATCTTGGCTCTTTTATGACTCGTGGACTTCAACTCCCAGAATTCCTGAGCCAGCAACGCTGAGGGGAAAGAGAGGTTTCCAAGCTGAGCCAGGCAGCTCAGGAATTCTGGGAGTTGAAGTCCACGAGTCATGAAGGGGCCAAGGTTTCCCTCATGCTGGCTCAGGAATTCTGGGAGTTGAAGTCCACGAGTCATGAAGGGGCCAAAGTTTCCCTCATGCTGGCTCAGGAATTCTGGGAGTTGAATGAGTCATGAAGGGGCCAAAGTTTCCCTCATGCTGGCTCAGGAATTCTGGGAGTTGAAGTCCACGAGTCATGAAGGGGCCAAAGTTTCCCTCATGCTGGCTCAGGAATTCTGGGAGTTGAAGTCCACGAGTCATGAAGGGGCCAAAGTTTCCCTCATGCTGGCTCAGGAATTCTGGGAGTTGAAGTCCACGAGTCATGAAGGGGGGGGGCAAGGGTGCTAGTCCCTCTCTCTCAGCCCAACCTGCTTCACAAGGTTGTTATGAGGAAAACAGGAGGAGAAAGCAATGTTGGATCTGTTCGCCCCTTCGAGTTGTTTATAAAAATAATAATGGCAGAACACAGATAAATAAGTTTGTGCCTTCTGAGCTGGAGGGAGGTTTGAGTAGCCCTCCCAACCCAACATCCCTAGAGAACGTGGTCTCCTGGTTGGAGTCTTAAACCTGGTTCTAGTTCAAAGTGGACTTTCTTCTATAGAGAAGATCCTTTTCTAAAAGAAAAGATCCTTTTCTAAAACCAAGATCCTTTTCTAAAACAACAAAGATCCTTTTCTAAAACAACAACGAGTCATAAAAAAGGTGGCCTACCCCTGATTTAACCAGACATTGCCCTTTTCGATGCCCAAGCTATGGCAAGTGGGCTTCTCCAGCCCCTTTGCAAAAACTCAGCAGAGAAATGTCCGTGGAGAGTCTCCATCATCCAGGTCATGGTTGTCCCAAAGGTGCTTTTTCATGAGGCAACTGGATTTCCTTGTTTTTCTTTTTTGAAGACGTTTCGCTTCTCATCCAAGAAGCTTCTTCGGCTCTGACTGGAGGGTGGGGAATGGAAGGATTTATACTCCTTGCAGACCGCTGGTCATTTGCACCCTTTTAGAGGCCACTTGGAGGTTTACCTGTGTCTTCAGGGTCACCTGAGTGGTGCAAATGTGCATGGAGTGTGTGAAGACATCCTGCAGCCAAAGAAGGCTCCACACACTCATTTGCACTACTCGGGTGACCCTGAAGACATAGGTAAACCTCCAAGTGGCTTCAACGGCTCTCTGAAAGAATGCAAAATGACCAACTGCTTGCAAGGAGTATAAATCCTTCCATTCCCCACCCTCCAGTCAGAGCTGAAGAAGCTTCTTGGACGAGGAGCGAAACGTCTTCAAAGAAAAAACACGGAAGTCCAGTTGCCTCCTGGAAAAAGCACTTGTCCTGGTTCCGACAAATGAAACTCTTTTTTTTTATTATTTTATTTTTTTAAACCAACAAAACAAAACATAACACACATACACACACAGTGTATACTCCTCCTTTTTTTAACAGCAATTTCGTAACGGTAATCTTCTATTATTTACATTTCCCTCCCCTTATTCTTCTTTAGATATATTTGTCCTTGTTGTCCCGTTGTTTCTTATTTGCGTTTTTCTTCCTTCATACTATACTTCATACTAAGAATAATACATATTATTTTGACTATACATTATTATACACACATTTTCCGCTTTTGCCCTTTCCACATTTATTCTCCTCTTATTATTTCTGGTCAGTCGTACCACTTGTTCCATATCAGATAGTACTCTGTGTCTTCCTTTTCTTTTATCTCTTTTGTTAATTCCGACAGATGAAACTCTTCAAAAGAACTTCCGAGGCATTGTTTACCTTAAAGAATCTTTATTTTGAGTAGCATAGCATCAGCACTGGCATAAAGGAAGCCAAAAACTGAATTCCCCACCCCCTGAGCACATAGTGTCAAAGCACAATTCCCTCCTCCAATTAACCATCATAAATCACATTCCTCAATTAGCTTGACGCTCAGGCTGCTTCTCTCCCGCCAATTTCTTATCAGCTCTGGTTACAATAACCTTGTTTCTCACACTGGGTCCAGTGTTGTTATGTCTAGCTGGACTCCTGCTCACATCCCCCCCCTCCCAGCCTCATCTGACTCTAAAAGCAAAAGGTAAAATTTCCATTTATTGTCAATGCAAAAACATCCGATGTTATTACAGATTGTTGTTATTACAGATTGTGATGCTAAAGAAATTAATTTGATGTTGAATCTGATAACAGCTGCAAGGTTATTAGTAGGGCAATATTGGAAGAAGGATTGCTTGCCTACTATAGAAGAATAGACGCTTAAAGTGTCAAATTTAGCAGAAATGGCTAAGATTTCTGCTTACTTGAAGGATCACTTGCAAGAAAGTACATTTCGGTTTGGAGAAGATGGATAAATTATATTCAGAATAAATATGGGACTAAAAAGTTTCATTTAGCCTATGAGTGAATTTTAGAGTCTTATTATGATATTATTATTATTTTTAGTATTAGTATTATTTTAACAATTTGGAGATTGTATTGTTCAATAATTAGGATGTCAACTTGTTTATGTTTTATTATTATGTTTATTTGCAATTTGTTTATATTTATGTTAAAGGGGAATTAAAGCGCATTATGGACTTGGTTATTTATATAGTTGGTTAATGTTAGTTAGATTATGATTATCATGTTTGTAACCCTGTACTCAGCTCTGGGAAGTGGGGGAGGGAGAGGGGTTTTTTGGGGTGGGTTGATTTTGGTTTATATTGAAATTTTTATAAAACGTTTTAATTAAAAAAAAAAAACATCCGATGTTAAGCAGCGTTGACAGCACCTTTGGGACTCAGAAAGAGGGCAGAATTTCAACCTACCCCTCTTCCTTTCTTTCCCAACAGAAAAAGCCCAAGAAGAACCCCCGGCGAAGCTTCTCGACGATCTGTTCCGTAAAACCAAGGCAGCCCCCTGCATTTACTGGCTGCCCCTCACAGATATCCAGGTGAGAAGGGAGGTGAGCCGGGGTGAGCCGAAGGCTCAAAACGTGGTTTTATGGATTTCTTCCACGCAGAGGGTGAGAAACTCCTCAAGCTGCAGTCAGGACAAATGGGGGGATGCAGCTGCAAGCCGTCCTCAGCTTCACAACCACAGCTGAACTCCTCCCCCAAACTCTTGTCGCTAAGCGAGGCAGTTGTCAGCTGAATTTTGCCCCCGTGTTTCCGACCTTTCTTGCGACGATGGTTAAGTGAATCACCGCACTGGTTAAGAGAGTAACGCAGATGAGAGGGGAGGAAAGTGAAGGGAGGAAGTAGGATGGTCAGAGGAGAAGGGGAGGGGAAGAGAGCAGTGAGGGGAGGAGAGAAAGAGGAGGGAAGTAAGGAAGGTATTAGGGAGGGTGGATACAGCTTGGGGGGAAGGAGCCAGCAGCACCCATGGTTATGGTTATGATTATGATTATGCGCCGAGGTGGCGCAGCAGTTAGAGTGCAGTACTGCAGGCCACTTTAGCTGACTGTGTTCAGCAGGTGAGCGGTTCAAATCTCACCGGCTCAAGGTTGACTCAGCCTTCCATCCTTCCGGGGTAGGTAAAATGAGGACCCAGATTGTTGGGGGCAATGTAATTAATATATATATATATACACACACACACACACACACACACACACACACACACTGCTTACTGGTGTACACCGCTTAGAGAGTGCTTGCACTTAAAGCGGTATATAAGTCTCATAAATAAATAAATTTTGTAAAGTGAATTTTGTTGTATAACTATGTTGGATAAATGGAAAATAAAAAAAAATTATTAAAAAAAAAAGAGAGACTAACGCCGCTACCCCCCGTTGACTTTGCTTGTGAGGAGGTGGCAAAAATGGATCGCGTGACCCCAGGAGGCGGCGACTGTCGTAACTACGAGTCAGTTGCCAAGCATTTGAATTTTGATGACGTGACTGATGGGGATGCCGCAACAGCCGTAAGGGTGGGAAAGGGCCACCCGTCCCTTTTTTTTTTCCCCCAGTCCCGTTTAACGTCATGAAATAAACTGTTGTAAGTTGAGGACCTAGCTATTCTACCCTAACAACTGCAGCGGATTCACTTAACAACCGTCTTGCTTAGCGACAGAAATTTGGGGCTCGACGGTCGTACGTCGAGGGCGACCTGTGCGGGACAGTCCTTTCACCGATGCTCTTCCCTCTCCGGGTTCCTCTCCCCGCAGTATGTCCAGAAACAGGCCGAGCGAGCGGCCCGCGCCCGAGAACGGGAACGCCGGCGCAAAGAACTGGAAGCCGAAGAGGCCCGTCAGCGAGAACGCAACCGCCAAGCCGAGCGCGACAAGCGGCGGGAACACAGCAGAGAGCGGGAACGCGAGCGCCCCAATGCCACCAGCGGCGGCGGGGCCAGCCGAGCGGGCGAACGCAGCGGCCGAGGAGGAGACCGCGAACGGCGCGAGGCCAAAAGCCGCCACAGCCGGAGTCGAAGTCGGAGCACACCTGTACAGGACAGAGGGGGGCGCCGCTGAGCTATTCCCCAGCCTTTCTTTTGACCTTCAGCGGGGAGGGGGAGTTGGTGGTTGGGGGCACTTCCCCCCCCCCCCGAATCGAGCTCCTAGTAAGGAAGAACAAGGGGGGAGCGAGTTTCTTTGTCCACCACTGGAAGGGCCGAGAGTGCCCGGCAGGGCGGGCAGCCGAAGTGGTAGGGCTCTGCCCCCTCCCTCCCCCTAACGTGGGGATGAGTTTGATTCCTGACCCCCCCCCCCTCCTGCTCCCTTCTTCTGGAGCCAGTGTCCTTCCCGTTGATTTGTATTTTATTTTGGGCAAATGTTTTTTTTATTCTTCTGATGATACAGGAAAAGAGAGCATAATAAAGAGATGGCGTTAGTTTTAAAGCTGCTGTCCTGCTTCTTTGGGGGGGGGCGCGGAGAAAGGGGAGACCGCCACCGTTGTGGGGAAAAAAGTTGTTTCCTAACCTCTTGCAAAAAGACACTTAAAGCCTACCCTGGTGCGTAGGGCTCTTGTTGTGTTTTTCCAAAAGGGAAGGGAGACACACACACACACACCCTCCACCAAGTTGTGATGGCATTTGTTCCCAAGCCAGCAGTTCAGTTTGTATCTGGAGAATATTTGTTGCTCGCGGTTGAACTGGGGGGTCCTGGGCGCTCTCTGAGCCTGGTTGGGTTCCTGCAGACGTTTCATTACCAAACTAGGTAACCGAGCCGAGGTGGCGCAGCAGTTAGAGTGCAGTACTGCAGGCCACTTTAGCTGACTGTGTTCAGCAGGTCAGCGGTTCAAATCTCACCGGCTCAAGGTTGACTCAGCCTTCCCTCCTTCCGAGGTAGGTAAAATGAGGACCCAGATTGTTGGGGGCAATGTAAATATATATATATATACATTGCTTACTGGTGTACACCGCTTAGAGAGTGCTTGCACTTAAAGCGGTATATAAGTCTCATAAATAAATAAATAAATAAAACCTCATCAGTGCTAGAAGAGACTGGGGTATGTGGAGTGGGGGGGGGGAGGAGAAGGAGGAATGTGGGATCTTTGTTGCGGTCTGAGCTGGGTGGTTTTCTTGCAGACGTTTCATGACCCACCTAGGTAACGTCATCAGGGAGTGGGGTTTGGTAAACAAAAACCAAATGAAGGCTGTACCAACTCAGACAAACAGTCAACAACAGCCTAATCCAGGAGCTAGTAAGAACACCCACTAACGGGGAAGCCACTAGCATTTAAACCAGTGGTTCTCAACCTGTGGGTCGGGACCACGTTTGGGGTCGAACGACCATTTCGCGGGGTTCGCCAAACAACGCAGTCCGCCATTTTTTCCCCCTTTTCCTTAGCGGTGCTACTCCCTTTTATTCTATTGGCTTTTGAAAGCCAATAGAATAGACTCTCTTGAATAGAGTCTAATTCTATTGGCTTTCAAAAGCCAATAGGAATTGTCCAGGCTGTCTCTGCCCTGCTGAGCCCGCCAAAAATCCCATTCTGCAAACGGTGCTGCACCAGTTGAGTAATCCTCGACTTACGACCGGTTGAGTAGTCCTCGACTTAACAACCGGTTGGGGGTCGCGGCATTAAAAAGGTTGAGAACCACTGATCTAAACGGAGAGCGAGGCCCACTCCCTTCTAGCACTGGTGATGTTACCTAGCTGGGTCATGAAACGTCTGCAGGAACCCAACCAAGCTCAGAGAACACTGAGGACCCCCAACATGAATGGCTCGTATTAATGCAGAAAAGGGGCCCTTTAGAAAGAACGTTGATTGCCAGGAGCACGAGTTTCTGTTTGTTATACTTTACATATTTATTTAAAACATTTCTAAAGCCGCCGCTCTCCTAGCCAACCCTGGGCAGTTAAAACGACTTATAAGATCACATTAAAACTATAAAACAAGACGGATGAAAACATTTTTGTTTGCTCTGTTTTCCTGTTGCGGTCTGTGCTGCTCAAGACTGTTTTCCAAGAGGCAGGGAACCAACCCACCAAATGAGAGCATTTCCCTTTCATCGGGCCATTTAACTGTCAAAATAGCTCAGCTCGCCGATTTTGCTGTCACGAATTCCAGCGTTTAGCTCGGTCACCAAACAATTTGAGCACAGAGTACAGAATGCGGCAGACAAACAACCTTACCTGCCCATCACAACTGTTTGCTTTCAGCAAAAAACAATGTTAAGCAAAACGGGGGAAATACAGACTTTTGAGATCCAATCTGCATGGGTCACCAGAACCGGAGTTTTTTGAGTTTTCAGACTCTCTCTAGCAGAGAGAGTGCTTTAGGCTATTCTGTTTTGCAACTACTAACATTGTTGGCCGAGCAGGGACAAAAACAGCCAGGGAAGTGATTTGAAGCCTGGGAAACGGGCCCCACAGTTAATGACCTCTGCAGCTTCCCGGGATCATGTGATCAAAATTTAGACGCTTGGCAACTGGTTCATATTTATGACCTTTTACTGTGTCGCAGGGTCACGTGATCCCCTTTTGCGACCGTGTGACCAGCAAAGTCGATGGGGAAGCCGGATTCGCTGAACCACCCGGGTTACTAACTTACCAATGGCAGCGATTCGCTTAACAACTGCGGCAAGAAAGGTAGAATGGGGCAAAACTCACTTAACAAAATGAGTCAGAGCAGGCACAGTCTTGTTGCATGAGATAATCTGGGAGTAAACACAGTAAACTGGTCTACATTAAAAGGTGGTTTATCTTACACTGTCTACAACAGTGTTTCTCAACCTTTTTAATGCCGCGACCCCCAACCGGTCGTAAGTCGAGGACTACTCAACTGGTGCAGCACCGTTTGCAGAATGGGACTTTTGGTGGGCTCAGCAGGGCAGAGACAGCCTGGACAATTCCTATTGGTTTTTGAAAGCCAATAGAACTAGACTCTATTCAAGAGTTGAGAACCACTGGTCTACAATATCATACACCAGGAATAATATACGTACACGTGCTAATGCAGCAGGATCCAACACACTACAGTTACAGCAGGAAACACAAAAGAGAGAACACATCAGCGGAAGTTTCCCTTTTATACAAAGGCTCTTAAAGAGACCCAGACCCTGCTGAGTCATTCCCATCATTACATTTTACACTACATCAGCTGGTTAGCTGTTAAAATCATTACCTTGATAAAATGTCTCACTTAACAACAGAAATTTTGGGCTCAATTGTGGTTGTAAGTCGAGGACTACCTGTACCACACACAGAATAGCCCACGCGCTGTTAGACGTTTCCTGAGGATGTGCCCCAGCGTTGAGTCCCAAAGCTTGGAAGACAAAACCTGGTCCCGGTGACACAATCCAGATTGGATCCTGCCACATTATCCTCGGACACGTAGATTCGCTTTCACTTAGTGAGACTTTCGAGAGCTCGCATGTAAAGGAAATTCAAGGCAGAAAAAAAATACTTAAGAAAAAGCACATTTTGAATGCAGGGGTTGTAGAATTAGACCACGGTGTTAATAAAAAAAGCCTCATAGTGATGATGAAAAATAGGCTTCAAAAACCTTAGCTGGAAAACTGGCTTGATGCCTTGTTTAGAAACTTACATAAACACGATTAGCTTTAATGTTCCAATAAGATCCAAATATAGCTGAATGTCTCAACGCGAGAGCTAAACTACAAAGATTTGCGCCGGGCTTGGAATTAGTCTGCAAACTCTTCTCTTTTTTTTTTTTTTCCTCTCCAAACAGAATAAAGAAACATTTTTTCCCCTTTTTTGGCACTTATATTTCCTCCCTTCTTAAGAGCTTTTGGGGGGGGAGCATCCATGTCTTTTCCAGTTTTCCCGTTCTGCTCTGGAAAGAAAGCCAGATTGAGAGGCGGTGATTGATGCACAACGACAAGAGATTTCCGGCTAGGTTTTGCACAGGCACAATCCAGGCTAGCCCCACAATGACAGATGATGATTTACAGAAGGTTTCCGAGTGGAAATTTTAAAAAACAAAACAAAACAAAAAAACTAGCAAGGATTTCTCACGAGTGCTGTTTCCTTCGTGGCAGATAGATGGCGCCGGTCTTCCACACAACCGGGTCAAAGGAAGGAGGCAGTTCACCTATTCCTAGAGAGAGAAAAACACACAAAACTGCAGGCCAACAAACTGGACAAAGAAAAAAAAGGGGAACATTTCTGCTCCCAGAACTTGGTCTCTTTCGTCTTCTAACCCACCCACCCCCCATCTCCATTTAGATCTTGGTTTGTCGTCCCCCCCCACACACCCCGCCTTGCTCCAGAACTACAAGATACTCAACTCGCCCCCAAGGAACATCTGCAGCTGTGGCCATGTCGTTTTCCTACTTCCAGCCATTGTTTTGTTTTCACCCCCTTGCCCTCTGTTTTTTTTTTTCATCCTACACAAAACCCAAGAGCTCCCCCACCCTGGCTCCCCAGCCTGTTCTATTTTTCTTCCTCCCCGGGGGCAAGGCTGCGTGGAGGATGGGAGTTGTCGTCCAATTTTTTTCTCCTGCGTTCTAGATCTCCGATCCCTGTTTCTCGGGTCCCGACGACGTTTGGCGTCAGGGCGGGCGGTTGTGTGAATCAAACGAAGCACGATGTGCAAGGCTTTGAGGGCCTCCCCACTCCGTCTTTCATCCCCACACCCCAGGGCCTAAAAAGACCCCCGCCCTCCCAAACGGTCCAGCGTGCACCTGCCTAGGGGTGTAGACTCTATATGTCTCTCCATCAATGGTTTTCCTCTGCAGAGTCCAAAATCTGGTTCTTTTGATTCCTTCCTATGAGAGACCCCCGTGGCTTGAGGGGGGGGCAAGGAGAAATTGGGTGCAGGGGCCTGGCTGAGACTAAAGGCCAGCTGTTTTGGCAGCAAGCCCCAAAGTATTAAAACTCATTTTGGGGATGAGATTGGACAACTGTTTGTCTGAAACGATATAGGGTTTCCTGCCTGAGCAGGGGGTTGGACTAGAAGACCTTCAAGGTCCCTTCCAACTCTGTTATTCTATTCTATTCTATTCTATTCTATTCTATTCTATTCTATTCTATTCTATTCTATTCCATTCCATATTTTCTATTCTATTCTATTCTATTCTATTCTCTTCTATTCTATTCTATTCTATTCTATTCTATTCTATTCTATTCTATTCTATTCCTTGTCTTATTATTCTATTCTATTCCATTCCATTCCATTCCATTCTATTCTGTTCTGTTCCTTGTTTTATTATTCTATTCTATTCTATTCTATTCTATTCTATTCTATTCTATTCTATTCTATTCTATTCTATTCCTTGTTTTATTATTCTATTCTATTCATTCCATCCCTATTCTATTCTATTCTATTCTATTCTATTCTATTCTATTCTATTCTATTCTATTCTATTCTATTCTATTCCTTGTCTTATTATTCTATTCCATTCCATTCCATTCCATTCCATTCTATTCTA